CCCCCCCGTGTTGGTACCTGCTGTATGAATGTCAGTCTGTCCAGCACGGCCATCCTCCCCGCAGACAGACAGACATTGAATGCTGTGAGATCCTCTCGGGTCGCTGACAGCCGGAACCCGAACTGGCCAATCACAGCCCGAGACTCTCCCTGACCGACAGCCAATCAAAGCAGCCCTTCTGGGGCACGTGACGAGCGACCAATGGGATGTCTCCGATTTCCGGGCGGAAGTGACTGAGCTGCGCTGGATCTTTAAAGATGGCGGCGCCCTCCGTCAGGGAGCAATGAGCGGGAGGGCAGCAGCTCCGGCCCCCGGGGGCCTCGGGAGGATTCACCGGCTGCTGGCGGAATGCGGGGCCCAGGTGAGGGGTGAGGGGGGGTCCGGAGACTCGGATCGTCACATTATAATAACAATAAATTAATAATATCAAATAATATAATAATACATTAATAATAAGAATAATAACTAGAAAAGTTACAATTTCTGGCCAGCTCCCACTCTAGCTTTGCCATTCATTCCTATGGGACAAATTTCGCCACAAAAACGACGATATTCCGTGAACCATTCGTCAAAACGTTCCACAAAGTAATAGCAATCCGATCGGGAACAATCTGCACGTTTTGGTAATTTTTTGTCTATGTAGTGTAAAAACTGTGGGAGGAGTTAGGGTGGCAAGTTTTGCTATAATAATAAGAATAATAATAATATATATGTGAGATAACAATAAGTGGTCTTGCTATGCAACAACACTTTATAAAGTCACAGAGCAATGTGTGTCATCAAATACTAAAGTTTAATAATACCGGTATTCTATTCCTAGAGTAATGTGTGTCATCAAATATTAGAGTATTGTAATAATATAGTTACTGAACAAAATATACCCATACTAGAATATTATAATAATCTAAACTAACAATCACAGAACACCCAGTGTTCCTTGGCAACTCCTTTTGCACCCCTCCTCTGGGCTGAAGTAGAACTTCGAGAGTTCTGGGGGCAGTCAGATAGGACAGGTTGTTCACCGGATTGAGGAGAAACAGGGAGAGTTCACCAAGATCAATGGCAGACTGGGATCAGGAAAGCTGAAAGGGCTAAAGGGGCATCTTAAGTTAATTTAAAATTGCAAAGAAGGAACATGTGACTTGTAACACACCAACCATTTAGATGCATTCCTTAACAGTACGAATAAACACTTTTGTCTACTCTCTGACCATTGGTGGTTTAGTATCACCCACACATTTACACCAATAAATCAGGAAGTGCCTTAGGTGAACTTTAATATTATTCAATCATTGTTTTGTATTGCAGGCAGCAAGTTATGGGAAATGTGTTTCTGTAGAAGCATCTGGGAAAAACGAACTGAAGAAGGGAGCTTGTGCGAAGGAATTCCAAGCTTTAAAGGACTGTTTCAGCAGAGCTGTATGTGATAACCACAGTCAGACCCATGACATGCCAATAGTAAAAACAAACCAGGTCTATTTCAAATATGAAGGGCAGTCAAAGACCTGTGATGCACGTGTGGAAAATGTACCCCCAGCTACAATGTTAAGTCAGTCTCCCCTGGAGTTGAGGCAAAATGCACCTGGTACTTGTTTAAAAACTGCAGGGATTAATTGACAATTTAGGCACTGTATCTGATTAATCACATTCAAGTGGTTATAGTGCCTGGAGTCCCCTGGGCTCTGTCCTTCTTCTCAGCGTTTAACCATTTTTAATGCAAAATGAGTCATCAGCAGTGCGTCCCTTCCGTGCATCTTGGGCTATTGAGGAAAAATTAACCTGGCCAGCTGAGAGTATCAGCTGACCACTTTCAGCCTATCACAGCAGCTACTATTGGTATGGCGAGAAGGAAGTGTATAATCTCTGCCACCTTCAGTGGGGGCAGGAATATGGGAAGCTAGGTATCCTCATTCAGTGCTTGAAAATGGTTTAACGCTGAAGGGAGAGACAGTACCAATGGAATGCATTGTCTAAGATTCGATACAGTATTCCTTTAACTGCCCACCAAGAATTGAAAATGGTAGTTTTAGGTTCGTGTTCCACCAGCTTTGACAAGCTAACATACTTAATCTGTAGGCTTCCTTATGTACCCTATCCCAAAGGAAGAGTTTAGGTTAGACACTGAAGATTTCTAGATGTGCTGGGTCTTGAAGGAAATGAAGCCTAGCGAGCTTAAAGGGACACTCCAGGCACCCAGACCACTTCTGCCCATTGGAGTGGTCTGGGTGCCATCTCCCACTACTCTTAACCCTGCAAGTGTAATTAGTGCAGTTTTTTTTTTTTTTTAATAAACTGCAATAATTACCTTGCAGGGTTAACTCCAACTCCTGTAGACAGCCACTAGAGGGAACTTCCTGCATCACCTGTGCTATATCGTCGCTGGACATCCTCACACTGTGTGAAGACCTCCAGCGCCGCTCATTTCCCCATATGGGGAGCTCTTATGCGCTGCAAGGAGGAGCGGCGGACGTGGGACATGTCGCTGTCTCTGGTAAGTAACTGGGGATTGGGAGAGGGGACCTGCAGTGCCACAAAATGTCATCACGCTGTGTGAGGATCTCCAGCGTCGCTCATTTCCCCATAGGAAAGCATTTTTAATGCTTTCCTATGGGGAGCTCTAATGCGCGGCATTGCGCATTAGGTCTCCCCGGCCGGTGGGCGGGATGTCAGGAAGAGCGGCGGCGGAGGAAGAAGCAGCGACGTGGGACATGTCGCTGTCTCTGGTAAGTAACGAAGGGGTTTTCACCTCTTCAGCAACCGGGGATTGGGGGGTGGGAGGGAGAGGAGACCTGCATTGCCAGGAAAACTGATTGTTTGTTTTCTTGGCACTGGAGTTTCCCTTTTAAAGGAACACTATAGCAGTAGGAGTATGTGTATTCTTAACCCTATAGTACCTTAGTCACTGTTTAGGTGACTACGTTGTTCCTTAATTTAAATAAATATATATTTATTCGTATCCTGCTAAATAAAGTTCAATCCTAACTGCAGTGAACAGGAAAAAGTGCCAGCCTGCTTGAAGATAATATTTTTATACTGATTAGACAATTGTCATCTCTGCCATGAGGAGAGGAGCGACCCAATAGTTAGCGCTGCTGTGACGATTATTTTGAATTGTGCTTAGTGTTTTACTTTTGAAACTGTAATGTGTAATTGTGTTGTCTTCTTCCAGATGAAGAGGAATATGAAGTAATTCTGGAGATTCCGGCCTGTGAGATCGGGATGTGTTATTACTCCACACGACGCGTACAAACAAAAGAACAATAACACAGATATAATGAAATATAAATCTTTATTAATGTACCTCATTGTCAGACACATTTATTTCAATGTTAAAATAAACTGCTGGATATCGATTCTAGTGCAGTTTAACTAATATAGTCTGTTGTTTGGGCCGTGTAAAAAAGCATCTTTGGTCCTCCGTATACCGGTTGGATTTCTGTAAAGGGAAGGAGCAGCTGTATATGAACAATGTTCAGTTTCTCACAGAGAGAGGATCTCCTATAAATGTGTGCCGTTTGTAGGCCAGACTTTATAAATAAGAATGTTATAAAACACGAGTACATCTATAGAAATGCATTTGTGAGTTATATGCAGGCAGCTGGCCCCCCTCTCGTTAGCGGTTACATATTTTCGGTTCGCAGATGATGCAGTTGTGACGTTATATTATTTAGAGCAAAGAAAGGAAACTGGTAGCTCATCCGCACGAAGTGTAAGCTCCCAACCAAATCCTGGTTCATGGCAGCAACAGTAAACAGGAGTTGCCACTGTCAGAAACCCCTGGCTAACACCATATCACATAATGCTATAGTTATTCTGAAGGGCACAGACCTATTACAGCTTTTCTAATGCCATTTAATTACAGGAGTTATACAGCAATAAATTATGACAGTACAGCCAATCATGTAGGAAATACATAGCTGACATTAAATATACAGAATGTATTTTGTGAACAAAAACTATTTGCATATTGCATATATTGAACAAACATACACACACAGAATCTGCAGCTATGCCAGATTAGGCTGAAACATGTAACCAAACAGACATGGAATCAATCTATATGACAGGTCTCTCAATGTACTAAGGCACTTAACAGTTCAGAACATTGTCCGTGCAAGGTCTCCAATCTTAAATGGCACAGGATGCTGGCACAATAAATTAATGGGTAGAATTGTACGTAAAAACTGTGCCAGAGTCATTCTGTTCACCAGGAAAGCTGCAGTTCCAAACCCTATAAATCCACCCCTTGGCTTTGTTTAGTGGGCTCAGCTGGGAAAGTGAACTCCATTATATTTTGTGAAATGATCACATCTTGGGCCAGTTTGGTCAGGGATGAATGAATCTTTTAAACTATAACATTATTTATAAGACACTAGCAAAGAAATAAACAGCATTAACATGCAGCACCCAAACATTAATTACAAAACAAATTGTGAACTGAAAGGAATATTGCAATAAATCAGGCTTTAAGAGCCAAACGGTGACTGTAGGGGAGTTGAAGAATTTTTCCAACTATTTGCTCCTTATTTTATTATTAATAAATTACAGTAAATGTTTAGAGAATAAACTCTGTTGTGGCACATTACATAGGGATTCTTCAAATACCATCAAAATGTTAGACAATTATTTATTACCACAAATGACTATTGCTCTGCATGGATTTGTAATGAATATAATTTGTGACTGTGAACCTGGTATTCCATAGGGATTAGTCTATCTGCAATACAACATCATGATCGGATGTCTTATCGCTACCTAGGGTAGGTAAGCGCTAAAGCCCATCGTTGGATAAACTTTTTAAATGATTTAATATTTTCAAATACACTTTTAAACATTTATTTGAAGTCTCAAAGTATCAAAAATATATTACATAAAATCATTAAAAATCGATGAAATATTTTTCATACTATTAAATAGTTTGAAAAGCTTCTGCAAATATATAAAATTGAGGCCTGAGTGTTTAGAATGAAGTAATGTTAAAGGGATTTAGATTAAGGGGGTGTTCCAGTTAGAGGCTAGGATTTGGGGTGTGTTGCTTTTGAGCTGCAGTGAACAGTAACTCCCATCATTGAGAGTGATAGGATTCACAGTCAATGGGACCTTGAAGGCAAGCACCAACTTTCCTTAAATCCCCCAACCAAACACAGCCTTTAATCTAAAGTCTCTCAAAACCTACATTACTGTACCTCGTGTGTCTTTAGATATTTAAAAGTACCATAACCACCATCCTACTGCTGTACTAGCTATGTCACCAATGTCCCTGTAACCTCCCAGAGTAAGTAGTTATTACAACAGGGTAATTAACCTTGGATCCACGATGCCTGTCACCACCCCTGTGCCCCTACACAGTCGGGCTTTGCTCAGTAATCAAAATTCCAGCTGCAAATGAGGAGAATGCAGCTACACAGCAGATCCCAGGTAAGACCGGACTAATTACTGTGGGTGGGCACTCTTAGCACCATCATTACGGCGTGCCATAGAGATTATGGAGCTTGGTGTATTCCTTGAAGAAATTTACAGTATTAGGAAAAACATTTTTCTTGCAGTCTATTTATCAGATCTTTTTATTATAAGAATGTCTTGCTATTCCAGCAGCTTGCATAATCTTTACGCTTTGTCTTATAAAATAATCAAATATTATCCAAGAAACGTGGCCTGTGAATAAGGGAATGCTGATTAGCACATTGTCATGTCGGCATTTACTTTCACAATTAGGAAAATAGACACCAGATTGGGTAGCAACTTGCTTTTCACAATGTACAATGAAAAAAAGAAAATTATTTCAAACGAATGGATTACAAAGATCTACAATGTACGCAGCAAAACAGCGGCTGAGTTGGAGCTCATCAGAGATGCTTTATTAATAGTTGGAGTATTTTAAGATCTCAATATAAATACCTGTGAGCTTTGACTGCTGTTAAAGTGAACCTTTCATTAAACTCTGGATTTATACACTTATCAAACAGCATTACATTTCAAAGACAGCATATATAAATATTTTAATTAAATGGCCTTGTCCTCGCCTGTCAATCAATTCTCGGTGCTCACAGCTATACCAAAACCATTGCCCTCTAGTGTGAAGGATTCACAGGCTTCAGCAGGAGAACCCTCCAACAAGAGTTATGAGGGAACAGACGGTAGTTGTCACTTAGATTACACCCCGAAACCAGGCATGGTGGCAGTGCTGAAGAGGGGGTCATTTTTAATAGTGCTTCAGGAAATTTAGCACTTAAAGTAAACTCTTTATGATGGGTTCACTTAAAATACCCCACAAATGGTGCAGCACTCGCATTATTTCAAACCATGGCTTTAAGACACCAATATGGAATACCTCTCATACATCAAGTCTCCATTATCAGTAGTGGAGGCAGAGAGAGGTTCCTGGTAAATACACGGTAAGAAAACAAACACGTCTAAAACAGTTCAACTCCATGCGTCTTAACCACTACACCTTTACAATGAGTTGTAGTGGTTATAGTGCTTGGAGAGTTGATTTAACACATTGGTCCTATATGATGTACAATCAAACTTTGTGCTACATTTTATATTCACGTCAGTGCTCTCTGGCAGCAGGGATCCTGATACCAATTTCTACTTCTTCCAGTCTGGCTTCATATAAACCAGTGGAATGTACAGGGTTATTTACTAAAAAGAGAATTAAAGGGAATTCCAAAGGCCAAAGTAGCCAAATTAAAAGCACAGCCAACTTAGAGAATGTTTCCAGTTTGCTTGTTTTTTTGACCTTGCATTTGAAATTCATCCTGAATTCTGCCTTTAGTAGATATACCTGTTTGAGATGTGCTTCGGGTGGATATAAAGTTCCCACGGGTACTGGGGGGGACTTTGATTCGATATCTAAAGGCATTTTGCCCCCTCTAAAGTCAGCCGAGATATCAGTGTGAATGGTAAAATGACAGTGAATTGGTTTTAAAATGCAACTTTTTAAGAAAATGCACAACTGTATCCTTTCAATCATGTAAAATCCTCTCATAATCACATCTTAAATTGCATGCTTTTACAGAATTATTGATGAGACGTTAGAAGTTAGGAGAATGATAAAACAAAGCGGAGCTAAAATCTGAATACACACTTAGCAAGTGAAACATGTCAACAAAATAGGTTTTTAATCTTTAAACAGAACCTATTTATTCCATTATTGTCTTCCTTTTAAAGTACACTGCCCCCTGCTGCTTAGAAAGCTGTACTCCTCCAGTACTGGGAATTCTAATTTGTGGGCCACAGCTACTCCTCATTATGGAGTCTGAGAGAGAACAAGATTTGTTATTACACTTGGAATGGTGTGGATTTGCAGCATACGGTTAGAATTAACGGGGCTTCTTAAAAAATATGTAAGCATTTCAATTCCTATCTTGCTTGTACCAAGCCCAATTACTTGGTGCCAGGTCCAGTTACTACTGAATAAAGAATGGGGAGAATATAGTTTGATTGTTACTAGGGCTGTCTCCTTTCTTGTAAGGATGTTTGGAGTCCATGCTGGAGGGAGGTTAATAAATCAGTTTCCCTTTTATTCTTATGAGATCATTTGCAGAAAACACATTTCCCATGCGGCTGTGTTTTGGGTAGGAAAGAGCTATTCCATCTAAGAATCAATATATTTAGGCCTACAACAAAATTGAGCTACACAAAGCTGAAGGCCTCTTTGGTATGTGGTCCTAAGGATTAATTGCAGGACTTGCTCTTTCAATAGTCAAAAAGTCAGAACTTGCTCATCTCTGCTTCTCTTCCTCTATTAGCTGTTTGATTTGCCGGCTGTGGACAATTTGAAGTACCCCCTCGGCTGCCTGATTGAGCCGTGTTTCCAGGGCTCCACGTAGGTCATTAACCTTAAAGTTTGGGACGGGATCCAAGTTAATGATTTGTGGTTCTTTATCCTCTTCTCCAAGGTCTCTTTTCCTCCTCTTCAGATCCAGATCATTTTGGAGCTTCAGGTCTCGATTTGGTTTACCCTGATCATGCTCTTGTGTTTCGTCTACCTTGCCCTCTTTAATCTCCTTTTCTGCAACTTTCTGGTCTTCTGCAAGCTTTTTGACTTCCACAGGAGGATTGTTTTCATCTGCTCGTGGGTTGATGGCTAGGTTTTGTTTCTGGACATCTTGATCCTCTCTGGGAACTTCAGCTTGGACTATTCCCCCCTCGTCTTTTTCCACCTGCTTAGCTTTCTTCTGCAGTTCAACTCCTGCGGGTTTCACTTTCTGTTTTTCCTCTGTTGGCTGTTCCTGCACTTGGATTTTGTCCTTCAAGTCAGACTCAATTTTTAACTCTTTTGATTTATGTAGAGTTCTGTGTAGATTGAGATCTTCCTTTTTCAGAAGGCCTTTGTCTTGGTCCTTCAGTGGTTCTCGGTCTTCTGGAACTGGATTCTGCACCAATGGTTTTAAAACAGGCTGTTTTGGTTTTTCTGGTACTGGAGCATGATCTGTATTTTGAATGGGTTCTACCTGTACTTTCTGAACTCCTACAGGTTCTTCATTCCTACGATTCTCTGTCACCACCAACTTTACCTGTTTATTCAGGGGAACAATTTTCTCATTCTCCTGCATAACCTCAGCTGGTAGCTCTTGGGGCACAACATGCTTAACTTCTCTCTCATTAGTTTCAACATTTTTTCCAATTTCTTCCAGAGGGGCTTGTTTGATTTCTGATTGTATTTCCAAGTTGGCAACTTTGACATCTTCTTTGCTTCTAGGTATCACTACGGCTTGCCCTTCGACCTTTTCTACACCAAGAATGTAGAAGACAAAAATTAGATAAAAACATCAATCAAAACATTGTGTTTCATGTTAAAGTGATGTACGTGAATCGGTTTTGGGGGGGGAGGGGGGGACATTGTTTTACTCTGTAAATTTGAATCTTTCCACTAAAACTATTGAATATTATGTTTGCAGTCAAGATAAACATGTTAAAATACTGTATAAACAGATAAACATGTTCAAACAAACTAAAATATCACCAAATGACCAAAGGTAACCAGCAATGACAAATTCTGTGTAATTTCTAATATCAACATATCATTTTATATTAATTTACTTTACTTTCACACTGAAGACTGAACGGACTGATATCGGTCTCAGCCCTTATGGAGATGCAATCGCCAGACAAATAATCACATGAACTACAGCACATTTGCTATAGTTGCTGAGACAGCGGAAAGAGTGGAACAGTGTGTAAGTTGGTTCTGCTCTCATCACCAATATCTCAGCGTAGATGCCTTGCTGTCTGTGTGGCTCGGTATAGTGAGAAACTGAGTGACAGGCATTGCTAGGGAATAGATCTTTTCACACGGTTTCAAATCTATATATTTGCTAGAAGTTCTACTAGAACAATGTAGATGGAACGCTGCCCTATGCCTACAATCTTTCGTCTGCAGGATGTCTAGTTTAGGAGACAAGTATATTTTATTTCTGCCTTTAATAACAATTCCGAGCTGCCTGTTTCACTGTTGTCCAAGTGGTTAATGTAGAAAGCCATGCAATTAGAGTCTCAGCCAATCACAGGACCAGGGCTGGAGAGATTTAGAGGAAGATCACAGCCAATAGACCTGGATGGACGGGTGTGTAAAGTGTCTGCCTGAAGCACACAATGCTTCTCATCTGTGCAGCTTTATGATCATTGTAGGAGAATACTTCTGTGCATTGTCTATATAATAAAATAACTACATGCAATACACTAATTTCATCAATCTCTGGATTCCCTTTTAGCACTCCCTTCATTTCCGAACTCCCATAACGGCTGACTTCAACCAATTCTCGTGTTTCCTATCACGGGCAGCAGTTAGGCATGGACACAAGTCTATAATCATTTCAGAAAGGGCAGTGAGAAACGAATAAAGTGCGATTTACATTACAGAGTATTCTACAAAGTGGACAGAGGACGCAAGGTTTGTACAGGGTGGGTGGGTCTTGGTATTAGAGGGAGAGGGCTACTCTAATTTATTGCATTTTATGTATTGACTGTAATATTAAAAATATATTTTACACACATACATTTTATTTCAGATTCCCACAGGACAAACTGGTACTGCAAACTGAAAGCCAGTATGGTCTTTAGCCGACTCCTACTGGAGATTTGGTATCAGATGTTACTGTAGGTGAAAGTTTAGGATCCAGTGATCATTAGTCAGTGTGGTTTAATATAAGAACAGTGACTGAGTCACACCACACAAAAACAAAAGTTTTAGACTTTAGAAAAACAGACTTTTCTAAAATTAGAATATGGGTAGAGGAGTCATTATCAGACTGGAGCAATTTAAATGGAGTCCAAGAGAAATGGGATTATTTAAAAGTTGCACTATTGAAGGCAACAGAAAATTGCATTAGGCTTGTCAGTAAAAGCAAAAAATTCAAGAAACCACTGTGGTACTCCGCAGATGTGGCCAAAATAGTTAAAAACAAAAAGTTAGCATTTAGGAATTATAAAAAAACCCAGAGTGAGGAAGACAAAATGATCTATAAGATTAGGCAGAAAGAGGCTAAGCAAGTTATAAGAGCTTCCAAATCACACACAGAAGAGAAAATAGCACAGTCAGTAAAAAAGGGGGATAAAACATTTTTTAGATACATAAATGAGAAAAGAAAAGTAAAACAAGGATTAGTTAGATTAAAAACAAAAGAAGGAAGGTATGTAGAAGAGGATAAAGGTCTAGCTGACTGCCTCAATGAATATTTTTGTTCTGTATTTACAGATGAAAATGAAGGAAAGGGACCTCAGTTGAGAAAAAGGATAAATGAGTCATTTATTACACGTGAGTTTACAGAGGAAGAGGTTCTATTTCAACTGTCAAAAGTAAAGACAAATAAGTCAATGGGACCTGATGGAATACACCCAAAGCTATTAAAAGAGCTTAGTGGTGTACTAGCAAAACCATTAACAGATTTATTTAACCAATCATTGTTAACAGGAGTAGTCCCAGAAGATTGGAAGTTAGCGAATGTTGTGCCCATTTACAAGAAAGGTAATAGGGAGGAGTCGGGCAACTATAGGCCAGTAAGCCTTACTTCAGTAGTGGGGAAAGTGATGGAAACCATGTTAAAGGATAGGATTGTTGAACATCTAAAAACACATGGATTTCAAGATCAGAGACAACATGGGTTTACTTCAGGGAGATCATGCCAAACTAATCTTATTGATTTTTTGATTGGGTAACTAAAATTATAGATCAGGGTGGTGCAGTAGACATTGCTTACCTAGATTTCAGTAAGGCTTTTGACACTGTTGCACATAGAAGGCTTATCAATAAACTGCAATCTTTAAGTTTGGATTCCAATATTGTTGAATGGGTAAGGCAGTGGCTGAGTGACAGGCAACAGAGGGTTGTAGTTAATGGAATATATTCGAAGCTTGGACTTGTCACCAGTGGGGTACCTCAGGGATCTGTACTTGGACCCATTCTCTTTAATATTTTTATTAGTGATATTGCAGAAGGTCTTGATGGTAAGGTATGTCTTTTTGCTGATGATACTAAGATATGTAACAGGGTTGATGTTCCAGGAGGGATAAGCCAAATGACAAATGATTTAGGTAAACTAGAAAAATGGTCAGAATTGTGGCAACTGACATTTAATGTGGATAAGTGCAAGATAATGCATCTTGGACGTAAAAACCCAAGGGCAGAGTACAGAATATTTGATAGAGTTCTAACCTCAACATATGAGGAAAGGGATTTAGGGGTGATTATTTCTGATGACTTAAAGGTAGGCAGACAATGTAATAGAGCAGCAGGAAATGCTAGCAGAATGCTTGGTTGTATAGGGAGAGGTATTAGCAGTAGAAAGAGGGAAGTGCTCATGCCATTGTACAGAACACTGGTGAGACCTCACTTGGAGTATTGTACACAGTACTGGAGACCGTATCTTCAGAAGGATATTGATACCTTAGAGAGGGTTCAGAGAAGGGCTACTAAACTGGTTCATGGATTGCGGGATAAAACTTACCAGGAAAGGTTAAAGGATCTTAACATGTATAGCTTGGAGGAAAGACGAGACAGGGGGGATATGATAGAAACATTTAAATATATAAAGGGAATCAACACAGTAAAGGAGGAGACTATATTTAAAAGAAGAAAAACTACCACAACAAGAGGACATAGTCTTAAATTAGAGGGACAAAGGTTTAAAAATAATATCAGGAAGTATTACTTTACTGAGAGGGTAGTGGATGCATGGAATAGCCTTCCAGCTGAAGTGGTAGAGGTTAACACAGTAAAGGAGTTTAAGCATGCGTGGGATAGGCATAAGGCTATCCTAACTATAAGATAAGACTAGGGACTAATGAAAGTATTTAGAAAATTGGGCAGACTAGATGGGCCGAATGGTTCTTATCTGCCGTCACATTCTATGTTTCTATGTTACTCTCCCACTTATTACTGTTAGAGGATAGTTCTTACTGCACATTGTATAGGATTTACCTTTCTGAAATGAACACAAGTTCCAGATTGTTTTATATCCTCATAAACCCTGGAAGCCAGGCTTGCTACATAGAACACTAGAAGCCCGATTCTAGTTTTTATACCAACCTTGCTGCTCCACCTCTTCCTTCTGCTGGTGGATTTCCATGTGTTGTTCTTTGATCACTTCTAACAGCTTCTCCTGCTGATCTAGTAAGCGTTTCTGCTGCACCTGCTGTTCCTTGATAACTTGGAGCAATATGGCGTGATCCAGAATCTCCGCTTTCCCCGCTTCTAAATGCATAAAGAATAAAGAGGTGAATGAAACTTTTTTACTATGACTTGGTATCGCAATGGTCACGTGACGAGCCCGTGTTAGTCTACGGTTAGAAAAGCAAGTCATCCAGTCAGTTGTCAAACCTCAAAGCTCAGCTTGGCCAATAGAAAATAAATACCATCAATAATGCTTTTACACAGCTATCTCATCTCCTGTTCGTTAATCGAAAGTAAAATGGCCAAATAAACGCGAGAATTATGGAAATGATAAATATCTAAATAAAACAAATGGCATCCTCTAGGACAGGTGGAGACACAGAGCTTCGCTTGTTTTTAAGTGGGGCAAAGCTTTATATTAAAAAGCACCAGAACCTTGTGACCAGGCTGATGGAATACTGCAAAATGGAACAAATGAAAGAGATGGTGAAGGGAGATCTTTATCACATCTCTAAGTAAAGATCAAAACAAATGGAGAAAAATACATTTTGGGGGTTGGGGGAAGGGAGAGCTTTTCATAAAGGGAAAACAAGAAGTTTGAAAGTTGTTGTTTTGGTCTTCAATGTACGGCCACAGTATTATTTTACAAGTATTTATTAAGTATAAATGTGGTACTGAATCTTCTGACACAGATTAACAGTTAGCCATGTAATACTGCAAAACACAGGCATGCTTACGTTCTGCTAGCCTTCTAAGTTTGGCTGTGAGGGTCCCAGGATGGCATGCAAGAAAGAAAGACGGAAGACAAAATATTGTACAGTAAAACTCTGCAGTAAAACCAGAATCTACTTAAAGCTTCCCTGACAGACCGGTCAAGACTTGGCATTTATTGGTGTTACTAACGTCCGATCTTTCAGGCTTATGACTGGTTGACTATAATGGAAGTTGTAATCTAGAAAACTATTTTTTAGCATTACATCTTTGGCTGGCTGATGAGCTATAATCAAAAAAATAAATAAAACTATGTGCTCGCAGAGGTGTGTGCAAGTTTGGTGTTACCATATTTTGACACCTTTTCATGCCCAAAGAAGGCCATGTTATATAACAATATGTAGAATACAGGCAAGGTCGACAGGTTTCAACAGACATGCCATTTAAAGCACATAGATTCTTGAAATAGTCTTTCAGTTGAAGCAATAATAACTAAGTGTAAGCATAGTAGATACAAAGAGTACCTCCTCCGCTAGTTTTAAGTAATGTGTAAAAGTGGAATTATGACACCCCTGGTTTAATGAATGAATAAACTTTTGAAAAGAATATTCACCCTTGAAAACATCAAGTGCTACTCCCCAATCACGATAATAATATTCAGCCATGAAACGATCTAGTCCAACTCCCCAATCACAATAATAATATTCAGCCATGAAACGATCTAGTTCTACTCCCCAATCACAATAATAATATTCAGCCATGAAACGATCCAGTCCTACTCTCCAATCACAATAATAATATTCAGCCATGAAACGATCTAGTCCAACTCCCCAATCACAATAATAATATTCAGCCATGAAACGATCCAGTCCTACTCTCCAATCACAATAATAATATTCAGCCATGAAACGATCCAGTCCTACTCTCCAATCACAATAATATTATTCAGCCATGAAACGATCCAGTCCTACTCTCCAATCACAATAATAATATTCAGCCATGAAACGATCCAGTCCTACTCTCCAATCACAATAATAATATTCAGCCATGAAACGATCTAGTTCTACTCCCCAATCACACTAATAATATTCAGCCATGAAACGATCTAGTTCTACTCCCCAATCACACTAATAATATTCAGCCATGAAACGATCTAGTTCTACTCCCCAATCACAATAATAATATTCAGCCATGAAACGATCAAGTCCTACTCTCCAATCCCGAAAATATTCAGCCATGAAACAATCTAGTCCTACTCCCTAATCAAAATAATATTCAGCCATGAAACGATCCAGTCCAACTCTCCAATCACGATAATAATATTCAGCCATGAAACGATCCAGTCCTACTCTCCAATCACAATAATAATATTCAGCCATGAAACGATCCAGTCCTACTCTCCAATCACGATAATAATATTCAGCCATGAAACGATCCAGTCCTACTCTCCAATCACGATAATAATATTCAGCCATTAAACGATCCAGTCCTACTCTCCAATCACAATAATAATATTCAGCCATGAAACGATCTAGTCCAACTCTCCTATCACAATAATAATATTCAGCCATGAAACGATCCAGTCCTACTCTCCAATCACAATAATAATATTCAGCCACGAAACGATCCAGTCCTACTCTCCAATCACAATAATAATATTCAGCCATGAAAAGATCCAGTCCTACTCTCCAATCACAATACTAATATTCAGCCATGAAACGCTCTAGTCCAACTCTCCAATCACTCTAATAATATTCAGCCATGAAACGATCTAGTCCTATTGCGTAATTTACATGATGCGTGACAGCTCCGGGCAGATACTCACCTTCTTGGCTCTCACCCGCCTTCTTCTCAGCATTGCGGATTTCTAGTTGTTCAGGTTCAACCGCTACTGCCTCCTTTCCATCTATAAACAAAGAAATAAAAATAATAATTGTGTCTAAATGGTCATACGTCCGGAGTTAAATGACCGGAAACACCAGAGAAAGCTAAAATCACAGCACTATTGTTACAATGTATAGTCAGATATTCTAGATGTGCTTTCATCTTATACATGGCTGCCCAGTTTCCTCCTACCTGCAATGAGTTGATTCTCCAGTGCTTTTTCAAGCTGGTCCAGATTGTTTTTCTCGCCTTCAACTACTGGTAGAACTACCGGGTTCTTTATTTCCTCCTCAGGAGTATCAACATTTTTGGCAGCAGCCTTGATCTCTTTATACGGTGGTTGCTCCTTCTGCTGATCCATGACGGGAGCCTTATTTTCCTGCACTTTGTCGAAGTCGCCTTCTTTCTGCGGTGGCTGTTGCGGTGCTTGTTCATTGTCGTCCTTGATGGGGGGAGGCTGGTCTTTCTCGTCTGGTTTATTATCTTGTTTGTCCCCCCCCTCTACCAAGACATTATTAGCCCCGTCAGCCGGGCGCTTCTTCTCATTAGACTCCTCGTGATCTTTTCTCTCATCCACAGCAACCTCATCTCGTGGCACTGGCGGTTCGTGTCTGTGAGCCTCACCCACAGGGACTGCAATGCCTTTTGGGTAGTAGACAGAGTGAGATCAATGTTAGGAGATACACCCCCAACTACCCACCAAGGATCAATGTTTAAATAAGTTAACCGAAACAACAAATTGCACGGGAGTAAACTTGTCATTATATGCACAAAATTGTGTGAGATATGTAACAGAGGAAAAACAGTATGAAGCATGCAGCAATTGTAATGTAAAACATGTTTTGTATAAAATCATGCCCTGGCTTGCCAATCACACAGCTTATATGTAAGGAATATTCATATCTTAAATAGTTTGAGGAAAACTGCTAGAATATCATTGCTGTCTTCTAACAACGTTATGCATTTTACACTTGCAAGAGGCTGGACACCGTGACCGATGAATGACACAGAAGCGAACCCATAGAGACATTAGGAAAACAGCTAGGGCGTCATGCAGCCTGTGAAACTAGGCATCCATTGGTAATAATGTGCAAAGGATAATTCTTTTACTAAAATAAACCCACCGTAAGTTGGTAAAATCCAATGGCCAGGCTGTGAATAACTCAGAATAGGTCTTACATCTATCAGATCCATACACATACAACGACAGGCAGTCTACAGGTATTGTACACATAATCTAAGCTAATCACAGGACTTTATTACAGATGGTACTGCCATCTGTTGTGTGGATGTTAGTTCTGGCAGAATCTTCAGGTGTGAGGAAAACAGAGATTCAGGTCTAGAGGTGTATGCATGTTACCTACCAGAGTTAGAATGTCTATTCATTTCAATGATACAATTACTAGTGTCAGAGCTGAGGTTTTGTAGAACTCACAGGAGGGGTGTGGATTGTAACAGACACAGAATACAGTTATGACACAGGGAAACAAGATATTTATTAATACTGCTCTCCAGAAAGGAAGAATGCTATGTCATATCACAAGGCCCCTACCTGACATTTACCAGAGAATCGCCATTTACACATCACACGGAGCAAACCGTACTATTGCTAGCATAGCTTGGAGACATACCGGAACGTATTAATAAAAAACAATTCTTCCCACTGGATGGTACCTTGGCCAGGTCTGTCCAGCTGGTCCTCCTCCTTTTTCCTCTTGACCACCACTTCCTCCTGTTGATCTGGAACATCAATGGGCCCTTTAATCTGTGGCTGTTCCATCTCTGGCTTCTTGGGTTTGTCTCTGTCATCAGCCGGCTCATCAACCTTTGGGTTATCAGCTGTAGAGAAAGACGCAGGTTCTCAGGGAAAGGAACTCTAGATTGCAAGCTCTTTTGAGCAAGGTCCTTATCAAACTATTGTTCCTGTAAGATTTTGTAATGGTCTCATATTGTAAAGCGCTGTGGAATAATTTAGCACTACGTTGGCGCTTTATAAATGCCAGTAATAAATAAATAAAATACAAATGGAAATAATAATAATGACGCAAAACCACTTGTCCTGCGTAATGTGTTAAATACAGTAAGCTTCGGAGAGCAATTCTGTTACCAGCAGGGGGCAGTGTTTCGCTATAGAAAGGAGCAAAATGTGGCCTTCATACAAACAATCTACTATCAGTGGATGAAGGGCTTCTTAGTGGGAAACTAAGGATGGGTTTACCAAAAAGGTAGTTCCCGGCAGTTCTAAAACTACAACTCCCATAAACCTGAGCCAGCCAATTAAATCTGCTACTTTTGGTTTGCAGCAACAGATACAGTGTTCAATGGCCAAATTAAAAAAAAAACTACAACACACACAGAAAAGCGAAACGTTATCCGTGCACTATACCAAATCCCTACGCACATCTAGATATCAGGCGAGTTTTAGTAACATGGTAAAGGCCATTAAAGTGTCAGCTCACCTGCCGCATCAACCTTTTTGGTGAGTTCTAACAATTCACCGTGCTGCTTACAGCTAAACGGTAAAATCTCCAATGAGACAGAGAGGGCGATTGTTGTTTATTCACTAACCAAGTGCGGTGATTGAAAGCTGAATTTCAGCTCACTACAACTCTCTGTTTAGTAAATAACTCCCATACAATAGTCATGGCTATCCACAGACAAATTACCATAATGTTTAGTTATTTCAATGCAATGTCACAGATTACAAATCACTCCCTTAGTACCAATGTTTTCCCCTTTACTGCATACTATAATACATTAGAAACGGATTTATTTATTTTTATAATGCATTTCAGCTCTCAATGTACCTGCAATCTTAAACTAACTAGCCTTTATAATCTTTTATTATACCAGACAACAAAAGGATGTGTGAATGCACTGTGTACAAATCTAGCGAAGATTAAACAGTATGGTGATGATAAGAGTTCCTTTAAAGTTTCAAGGCTGGGAGGAAGAATAAACAGGACACAAATGATGCCCCCCCCTGCCCTCTCCTCCTCCCTCTTACAATGCCAGGAAGCAGCTGGAATTCAGAGATCATAAACAATAATTGTTCCAGTACAGGTTAAGGAGGAGGTGGGGTGTCCCAAAACAATCTCAAATGCCCCCCACAAGGCTCGGCTGTTCCTGATGTACTGAAAGTCTAAAGGCACACCTAGAATTAGCAGGTTTATAGAGAAACACCAACGATAAAGCAGACGGAGGGGGAAGTCCAATCTTTAACCTCAGTAAAAGCTTTTGGAGAGGAGAAAACATGGTTATCTTTAGACTAAAGCAAACACACTCAGTGAAATCTTTAACATCTCAAGGATTTAAAAGCTATAAAATGATATTGGATATTATATCATGTTACCCACAGTTTTCAATGTGTCATTTTCTACATCCTGCTATTATGTACAATGTATTCTTTCATTTTCTGAAAGGTTTTTGCCATCACTACAGATGTAACAATGCGCATGTAGGAGTTTCGCCACAGTGTCCCAGCGGAGGGCGCAGCTGTGATTGGGAGTGGAGCAACAAAGATTAAAAATATATAAAAACATGTAAATTATTCGGGGGAAGGGTAGGCAAGGCGTTCATCCAAATATAACTCTGGATTCAAAATATGCTGCCTGGGGAGCGTCCCCCACCTTCCTGCAGCCAGACACAGACACAATCCCTTAATGAACTACTGATGAAATCTTTGTTGTCGACCTTGTACTTTGCAAACGACTTGAATTGAAGGAGCAGTGATAATCGTGAAACTTACGCTTTTTGAATTAAAGACATATTGCGATTAACTTTTTCCCCAGCTGCACTATTCTCCCACAAGAAAACAAAAAGTGGGGAAAAAAGAGAAATGAACAATGTGGGTGTGGAACGCAGGTAAAAGGGTAATTTATATAACATTATAATTTGTCCTATTTTGTGAGATATTTTCAATATATCTCCAGTGATGGCAAACATTTATGAATTCTCTTTTAATTCTATTTATTTAAAACAATTTAGCCAGACAAAAAAAAAAAAAGTATCAATCATTTGGCCTTGTACATATTATACGATGGTGTAGGAATCACAAAACTAGCTCAATGGGCTTACACTCCAGAGCAGGGGTGACAATAAAAGTAGGCAGACCTCCAGCTGCTAGGAGGCTGGCAAAGCATTATCTGAGTTAAAGATCTAACAGAGTAGGAGGTGTGGGGAGACCAGGTTAAACTGTTTTATGATAAGCTTCCCTGCAGAAATGGAATGACAGTGTTAACGAAGTAGAAGCTAGGGAAGCCCTGATTGTTGGGGGGGGGGGGCCTCATACAGCAATAGAGAGGTCCTGTAAGCCAGAGTTAGGCAGCCTTTAAAGATGGCTATAATAGGGTATACAGAGTATAATGTACCTGGGTGGAACAGGTGAATGTAATGTAGGTTAACCCTATATAACCCTTTATATTGCACCGGAAGCGACACTCCTGCATAGATTCACAGTCACACTAATATAAATTCTCTAGAAGTGACTAATTCTGTTATAATGATATAAACATGGAAACGTGTTTTAAGATAAATGTCCCTCAGACGTGCCACTCTACTAAAATTTTACTTATACAGGAGAAAAAATATTTCAGAACTTTCCAAAGATGCAATGCTCTGTTTCTTTTCCATCAGAAGCTCTATACGGTCCTACTACGGCTAATTAAACTAGGTGTACCAATTTATTACAGGATCGCTAAAGGCTAGTGTAACCTCTTGATGACCATGGGGATATTTCAGCCCAGGATAAGGACTGGTACAGTATATTTGCGATGTGTTGGATGACCCATCATCTTATGCTTTCTTGCTAAGTGTACAGATCCAGTTAGAACATACTAACTGTATGTGTAGATTGTGCTTCGTTGCTACAGTGTCTATACACCCATATTATCATATCAGTTAGCTATGTAACACATTGATGGGGATTACTATGTGCTGCACACAGCTCCTATTATTTCAACCTGGACATCGCCAGATTGTCTCAAAATTCAGTTAAATGGTTTCTGAAATAAGACCATACTTGAGACATTTTTATAAACTATTTCAGGCCTTGATGGTCATACATACCCTGCTTATATCCCTAACACTCTAGGTATATTGCCATATTTGGTAGTTAACCCTCTGGGTGGCACAGGGCCTTGTTTCTAGCCCTTCTATTCTTGTATAGAGTGCCGGAGTAGCTCTCAAACTATCACATGTTGGAAATACAACACAGTAATGCTCTGGCAAACAATCCTGTTGTCTTTGAATGAAAGGTGATTATCAAGAAACATGCAGTTCCATCACTGTTAGGGATCAGATGTCCAAACATGCAATCCTACTTCAAGGAACACCATAGTGTCATGAATACAAACATGAATTCCTTAAACTATAGTGCTCCAATTGTATCAGGGAACAGAGGTCATCCCTTTTGATACGTTAAGACAGTAGGGACACCTTGCCCCCTCAGATTTTTTCCGATACATACAACTTAAAGATTACACAAAATTAGCACACATCAAAGCGGCAGCCCTGCAAAAGATGACTTTCTTTGAACGCATTTGCCTTCAAGAAACCATACCTAAAGGCATGATAACGCTTATGTATGCTCGCCTCTGTTCAGAAGCCGGGGATTGGGGTAAGCTAGCCTATACAGATCAATGGGAGAAAGACCTAGGGGAAATACTGGAAGGCATAGAATGGCAAGAGATTTGGGAGGCTAACCATACCTCTTCCGTATGCGTTGCCCTACAGGAACAATCTGTCAAAACTATGCTTCGCTGGTATACTACACTGGTTAAACTACATCAAATGAGAAGAAAACCCTACAGATGTGTGCTGGAGGAGCTGTTTCTTGTGGGGGACTTATGTCCACATGTGGTGGGAATGCCCTCAGATGGTCAAATTCTGGAAACTAATACAGGCCCTGCTATTGCAGGTTTTTTCTAGAGCCCCAGACCTAGATCCATGGCTATTCTTATTAAACAGATCCATAGATGGTTGGACTAGGCATGAACAAAAGTTCATCCACAAAATTATATTAGCAGCTCAGAGTGGCTTAAACCGGGCACACCACCCATGGCAGGAGTGATAAACAGGATAAAAGAGGTCCACTTGATGGACAACCTAACGGCTAGGATAAGGGGCTCATTAAAAACTTTTCAGAAGATCTGGGAACCCTGGGAAAGCGCTAACCTAGGAAGTTAATACGAACATGTCCCGCCTGTCAATCAACCCACTCCATTCATGGGAAGCCTCCCCCCCACCCCTCTCCACCCTTTCGGATCTTTACTTTTTCCTTTCTCTCTTTATATTCTTTAATGTTTTATAAAAATCAAAAATATTGACTACCTTGAGGCATTCCTGAGAGACAGACATATATCTCAAACATGGAACGTAAGAATTGTTTGTGATCCTTCCTATCCACACACCGCCGTGTTAGGCGATCTCCGATGACGGAGCAAAATAATGCTTAGCATATGATAAAAAAGAGAAAGCAAGGAACCACCTACAACAACACACAAATCAGACCCGACAATTACGATACATATGCCATTACCCTAAGCTTTATTTGACAAAGAGTGGAATATACGAACTGATTTCAAACTGTTTCTGTTTTTTTTTTACCGAATATATCTGCTAATTATTATCTCCTTTATTGTATGTCAATACAAAATAAAGAATTTCAAAAAAAATATATAGTGCTGAAGTGGCTGTTTAGGTGACCGCCCCTCTACGATGATTTTACTCACCTTTTCTCCCACACCATCCCTTTAAGTTACTGTTTTTCCAAATTGTTTTCAATATGCTATATCTACTAAATTGTGAAAAAAAATTCGGGGGGGGGGGTATTTGGACAATGGAGTGTCCCTTTAAAAACCCTGTATACCACAACTTGCACTGTGTATAAACTGCCTGTAGAGGGCAGAGGTATTAAATTAAGTTTTACATTAGTTGCAAGTGAAGGCGGGTATGAACATTTTTTGAATGTACTCATCTATTCATTCCTATTACAAGTACTTTATTTATATTGATTGACAAGACAATAACCCTTCATAAAGAAAATGTCAGGCCAGATCCCACATCCATTACAGGATATTATCTGATTTTTAAGTATGCTCACAGTGGTCCAAACTGGTGTTGTGGAGTGTCAATAGATACATTCATGGATATAAATCAATATCGGGTTTATGTCATCCTGACAATGTGGTTCTTATAGACCCTGGTCTGGATGGAAAGGTATTTAGCATTAGCCGGGCTGTATAGCATGACAGAGGGAAAATAACAGGAGATATGCACACTTAGGGACCAGATACGGATGATGGCATGGACACTTTTCAATCCTTTAACTATCAAGCCAGAGCTTTAACTTAACAGTGATCTGATCAATTCCATGTACATGTCCTGAATGTTTTTAACTACTAAATGGGTTATCCCTGAAAACCAATGCAAGCCCCAGGTAATATGCAGCCTCAGTTACGCTGCAGCAATCAACAGTCCTGCTGGAGTACATTGTATGCAGATACTACACCTGGTAATACGGGAAGCTTTGGCACTGGTTCCACCTCTAAATCCTTAATCCCCCCTTCCTTCTGAGGGTCGACTTTGGTTAGTACTGAAGTCTCCCCTGTCACCGTCAGAGTAGTGTAGGTACTGATCACCAGAACCACCAGGCCAACTGCCAGGATAAACTGTAAAGGAACAGAGAGTGCTTTAAAAGAGTGTTCTTTAACATCCGTAAAGTGGACCTACCACCCAAACATGAACGTCAAGCAATATAATATGATCTGCTTAATAAGCTAGAAAAACCACCAGCAAGTGCATAGATCAAATCTTTTCCTTACTTCCTAACTGGCAACTATGGTTGTGTTCGCATCTGGACTCTCCCATAATTATCCCAGAATGCACTGCTAAAGGAAAACTAGGATATAAAGATATGCCTTGTGGAAGTGCACAGAGGCCCAAACAACCCAATCCAGAAATAGATTTCACTGCCGATGGAATAAACTAACACTATAATCACTGCAAGACACAGTGACATCATTTTAGCAAAAGCAATGTATGTATTGTACTAAGCTAGTTCTAGAAGACATTATTGTGTATGGTGTATTGATAACCAATTAAATGGTATGCAATAAGCACAATGTGGAGGACCTTTTAAGACCCAGTTCCAGAATGGGACATTTATAATGAACAATGGGATTATCCACTAACCATTGTAGTGAATTGAAAACCAGATTGCTAAATTAATTCAAAACCAGCAAGTTTGGAAAATATAAGTCAAGCCTTGGTCATGTTTCACTGCATTGTGCAATCTGGTTTGGAATTCACTACGATTCAGTGTTTACTGAATAAAACAGAGAATATTTTCCCCAGTTTTAATCGATTACATATTATTTAATGTATTCTTCTGTTTATAACCTCTCCAATTACTTCCTCTAGCCTGGGAAATGGAAAACTGAGTTTCTGTGTTATATAGGCCATTAAATTGCTGCTGTTCTGTAATCTCAGCATTTCCCTTGCAGACAGGAAATGGCGTGTACAGACCCAGGTGTTCAGAAACCAGGAAGAAACTGTCTCCAGGCCCCCCCACCATACATCCTGGTGATCAAGATGATGCATCCTGATTTACACAACACCTCTGCATCATCACTGGTCACAAAACTAGCATCTCTGCTGTGCTCAAGGAAGCAACAGTGGCTTGGAAATCACACTCCGATGCCAATGTATAGTTTGGATTATGAGAATCTCTCTGCTGACAGAAGGAATTATAGCCCCATCTGCTCTGCTGCGGGATAATATTCTAACTGCCGCTCCTTAATCCCAGAATAACGACATGGCTTTAAGCAACGTGTCCCGAGCCACTCCCTAGGCCTGTGTTCTAACCAGGATGGGTTCTATGGCTGCGACCTGACCTAGATTTCCTAACAGTCTAATGTTTCCCTTTCCTCCGGTTTCCTGTGAGTCCTCCAGCCAGAGATCAGCTTTAACGCAGCCTGTGTTTGGAGAGCAATTGAGGTCACTAATTTGTTTCCACTTGGACACAGTCAGCCATTGCCCGCTGGGAGACTCTCACAAGCTGCCTCCTCACTAGGACAGGGTGCTCGGTCAATCTACTGTAGTATGAACCAGCGCCACTGACAGATTGTAAAAAGCTAACCGTGGGGGTGCATTAGATCAATTCTGGAGAAAAACGAATACTGTGGAAGTGCATTCAAAACATTTAACCTTTGTAAGAGTTGGGTTCTAAATGAAACTCTGTATAAAGAGTAGTATGTTAAATGTTCAATCGCAATAACAAGTTATATCTCACCTCAACAGTGTTTAAAGTATTAGATTTATTTAATGTATCTATATAGATCTATAAAATTGGACTGGCAGAGATTTATGGGGAATCTAGTCCAACAGCTGCAGGGCCAAGGATTGGATAGCTCTGGTCTATAGAACAAGAGAAATCATGGGCTATAATTGGCTGGTTGCCGATTCCTTCTTATGCCCCAAGGTTGTCTTTGTACATCACCTTCTATCATGAAGAATACATCAAGGCTAATTAACATTTACTGTTCCATTTACTTATCAGAGTACATAAAAAAGGCATCATAAAGGCGGAGACTAATTCTGAAACATAGGACTGAAGGCCGAGACTAGTTCTAGAGAGATGGCACATGACAGTAGATAAGGGTTGAGATTAAGTCTAGCACTACATCATGTGACAAGGCATGGTCATGGATAGGCTTAAAGTCTAATTTTACCACATGACAGGAGGCTTCATATTTGCATATCTTTCTTTACTGAAAACTCCAGCAGCATAGAAACATAACAACCAATCAGAAAAAAGTTATGATGCCCATAAAAGGCCCTGTCTATGACATCACTTCCTCTTTCTTTGCTGCTCCAGCCATACATCAGGTCAGAGTATTTTACCTCTCTGGTAGATTCTTAATTTACACTGTTTTTTTTTTTTTTATTGTCATACCACTATATATTACTCTATTTATTGCTAACACCTGCTACCTTGGCCCCCCTTATTCCTGTCCCTTCACTGTATCCCTCTGTTTTTTCCCCCTTTTTATTTCCACCTTACTGCCTGGTATCCGTGGGCGCAACGACTACCCGTGTCGCGCTCGCCTCGCGGACCGGCCCTTCACTTACACAGGGGACTGTATGGGGACGGGTGGAGGGAGGCTGGGGTCAGCGTTTGTGTTGCATTTATCCCCTTTGTTTTGCACCGCGCGACCGCGATCCGCGGCACACCTTCACATGTGGGCGGCGGCCATCTTGGCTCGCGGCTCGCGAGATACCCGACGGCCGCCTTCCCTGCTCGCTCAGCGGATCGGGAACTCACCCGACTGCCGGGCTCCACAAGTGTATGCTCTCCCAAGTGAACAATGGGAGAGTGCAAGCTGGATTTCAGTTTTTTATCCATGTATTCTTTCGATGTATTTTGCCACAGTGCCTGCCAACAGTGTCTGCCAAACAAATACTTACATGCAGGCATTAAAGGAGATTATGTCTTTGTACCTTACTCGGGGTCTATACCCTATACAGGGTCATACCATATTACTATACCCTGCACAGGGTCATACTATATTACTATACCCTACAGGAATCACCCGATCACCGCGCCCTGCATCTGGATTAACCCCTTCAGGGGTCCCCCTCTCTGGGCACATTCATTTATTGATACAATTATTATTTTTTATTCTCATGGATATATCTCTCATGGTGCCTTACACTGGATGATTATATGTTGAGCAGGCACACAATCTATGTATTATTGTGAAGCCATACAATATCACAGTCGTTATACAAAACATATACTGTACCTATAACAAGATCAACTATATCACTGTACCCTACAAAGGGCATATTGTGTTACTGTACCCTACAAAGGGCATATTATATTATATTATTGTACCCTACAGAGGGTCATATTATATTACTGTACCTGACGGTGCAAATTTATGTGGGTGTCCTCTGGGTTACCATGGCACACCACCCGGGGTGAACCCCGATCATATGCACGGAGGCCTACGCCTCAACTTTACCACTGATTTCTACAGACATATATGGATGTTTAACCCCTTAAGGACCAAACTTTTGGAATAAAAGGGAATCATGACATGTCACACATGTCATGTGTCCTTAAGGGGTTAAACACTGCCTGTCAGTTTTACATTAAAGCAACAGTACCATGCCGGATGCGATTTGACGGCAGGATCACTAAGAAAACTGAGTGTATTGCGGTGTACCCTTCACAGGGATACATATATGTATATTTACTGTGCCTAGTGTACATATTGAACGTGGGTGTCCTCTGGGTAATTTTTCATGGCACACCACCTGGGATGACCCCCAGATATGCATGCAATGCTTGTAAGGTGCCAATAATTATAATATGGGTGTCCTCTGGGTTACCATGGCACACCACCTGGGATGAACCCAGCCTAATAGACATGGGTCCTGCGGCTGCAGACCTTATAGAGACAGGCCCCATGCGCCTATATAATAAGCCTGTATAGTTAAAAACCGTGCATACAGCATTGGCGTACATTTGTGGTGAACCCGGCTAGCCAGACCGACACCACTACCAGTCAGTCGCGCCTGCACCACGGCTCTCAGTAGCCAGATTAAACTAATAGAGGTGACCCCTCTACACTTGGCACGAGTATTCATACTCTCAGACATACTAAAGCAGGCAATTCAAACCGTTTTACCTGGGTGATCCCCAGTTCTACCAGGAGTCTAACACCCCTACGTGCTGACCCTCACACTATCTCCCAACAGGACGGAACGAGTCATGGTGGACACTCTCAACGTTCCCAAGATTTCTAGGCAATGATAAACGCCACAGTAACGGCCTCAGTGGAGAAGGTTCTGTTATGAACTCTACCCCACACCGCTTGATGGAGACCTCAGGCCCACAAGCCTTCAAGTCAAAATGGCAAGGGAAGGGCTCCAGCCCCCCTGCCACTAAGGTCAAGGGCAAGACGCCCATCGAACAGACCAAATAGGCGGAGCACCGGGAATCCAAACCCCGTCCGCCACAATCTTCCGACAAAGAAGACTATTACCCACCACATACTTTGGACATGGTAGATGAGCGACACGAAGACAGCTCACCGTCTGAGGAAATGGAACGGCAAGACCTTCCCCACACTTCCTCGAAGTACGTTAGGGAAACCTTACTCTGTGACGGCGGCTGAGGCAGAGATAACTGTAGCGGCACTAAACCAGAGTAGCCGAAGACGGAACGTTCCTGGACGAACACTATTGGCTGCGCAACCCTCGGGGGATGGAAGGATGCGCACGCCTCAAGACCGAGTTACCCCAGGGTACACAACTCAACCCTACCACCTCCAAAGAATGGTCTCAATGCTCGATATGCCTCCTGGGCAGCGTAAATGACGCACTATGCGCCGACAGACGCAAATCTGTACTGGGCCGCATCGACAACACACTTTTGGACTTAGGAACGACAAGAATTCGGCCCAAAAGCACAAGGCCTACTGTTCGACGTAGTGTTCATTGCAGTACTCAAGAAACACGTGAATTTATTCACCACACTAAATTAAACCCAGACCTCGCTAAAACAAGTCTTCCACAACCCTACGGGGAAAGGTGTTTCTGGGAGGACTGGTCGGTAGCTGAACCGAGCCACCAGCCGCTTCTGGGCGACAGGTTCCAGATCGTATACACAGTCCTCATATTTCTCCCATCTACTACACAAAGGAACCCATCCGCTTCATCTACTAGTGTGTCAACCTACATAACTAACTGTTTCCAATATTAGGACCGGCAACCTGTCTCTGTTTTACAGAATTGGGAGACGACTACCAAAGTCACCTGGGTTCTCCAGACAGTACAAGGCTATGTCATAGAGTTTTATCACAGCCGTGCAGGTCGCCCATTCACCTCCATTACGCACACTGGCGGAACAGGAACGCCTCGTGGACAAGAAAATCTGCACCCTCTTCAGGAGGGGCGCAATTCAACATGCACCGGAGGGGAAGGCTTCCCCAGCAAATTTTTCCTGGTCAAGAAGAAGCCAGGAGACTACATCAGTGGAACTCCTACATGGTATACAAATGCTGCAAGATGGAGGAAATTCGTCTTCTACAAGACCTCCTAGGCGATAACGACTGGCTTACACATCTGGACCTCAAGGACGCACGCTTGTCAGTACCCGTTGCCCTGGACTGCCGAAGTTTTCCTCCGATTCCAATGGTGAGGACAAACACGGCAGTTTACGAGTCCGTGGTGCTCGCGAACCTACTGTAACCAGTGAGGGCTCACAGCCGTAAATTTGGGCGTGCGATGCCTCGTATACCTGGAAGACCTGCTGATTCTTTACAAATCCAGGCTACGTTTGCAGACAAATTTGTTGTCACTTTCGGGACTCCATGAGTTTTTTGTTGTACACAGACAAAGATCGCTTCTCCATCTGAATCGGGCCAGTTCCTCGGTTTCGACATCGGCTTGGAGAACTACGTTCCGCGTCCGTCTACGGCAAAGAGCGCCTCTATAAGGATAGCTGTTGGACTGTGGGATTCCTCTCCTCCTCCATACAAGCGTTATTCCCTGGCCCACTACGACTGATGGTGAGATACGTACGCACCGGTCACTCATACGACCACTGGATCCCACTGTCAGCGGAAGTGAGGATGGAATTTCGATGGTGATTACTTCACATACAAACTTGGATTGGCAAAACGATCTTTGACTCTTCCTTCGGATACGGGGCGATGGATGAACCCCTGCAAACGCGACCCAGCCGTTCTCCACAATAGCAAGGGTGCTTCGATACACACACACACACCCACAAGATATTGCTCCTGCTCATGACACCCCTCGGGCAGGGCCAACCGTGAGATTCCTTAGGGAATGGCCGGACAATCCTTGTTTGTCACTGAAGCAACTTTCCGCCAAACTAGCCCTCTTATTATGCCTCGCCTCATTTAGACGGTGGTGGACGTTAGGGCTTGCGATATGGATGGTTTCTCTCTCACAGCAGACGGGGTTACCTTTACCATGTCGAGACGAACTAAGTCTGATTCGTCTTCAGTGTCATACCCATGCTTTGTGTCAGACGCCACACTATGCGTGGTCAGAACGCTAATGGGGTACACCAATATCTCTACCCCTTCGAACTCATTCGACGGATCACCTTCTGACTTCTTACGTGAACCCTCATGGACCGATGTCTACCGCAACACTGGCCAGATGGGTCCGCTGGTTTTTGTCTTTAGCGTCGAACCTTGTTTCGGAGCCCACTCGGTCAGGGGAGCGGCGGCCTCACAAACCTTTTCGGCCGACGCTTCCCTAGCCGACATTATACGCTGCGCGGACTGAGCGCGAGAGAGTACGTTTAGAACTTTCTATTTTCGGCAAACATCTCATGCTTCCTTCACATTGGTCAATTCAAAGCTTTAAAAATGCAAATATGAAGCCTCCTGTCATGTGGTAAAATTGAAGATTATATTAGCTTTAGTGTACTAATAATCTTAATTTTAGTAATGACAGGAGGCGAATATTTCCCACCCTATAGGATCCCTCCCATGTTTCTTGTGTTGAACAGAATATGTCCTTTATGTTCAGGAAGGTAAGTACGTATGGTTTGTATGTTTGCTACTTGGACCTGTATCTTGTGGGTCTTGTATTGGCTGAATATTAGACATGAACCTTGCATTATGTTGTGTTTATAGATTCTTAAATATCATTGCGTTAGAATAAATATATATTGATATGTTTCACATTCTAATGTTCGTTGGTATATCAGATGCTTAATGCTTATTGTATGCGGACAAGTTATCACGCCAGATACCTTTCACCTTTTTCTTTTTCTTGCAGCGTGAACGTCTTCTCATCGAGACAAAGATTCACCTTCCATACCTCTGCATCGCGGAACTAATGGAGTTGGATATTCTAATGTGTTGTTGAACTGTTGACGTAATATGATTATGTCTCTTGTTGTTATTTATTGTTTCGCTTCAAAGAAAGAGGAAGTGATGTCATAGACAGGGCCTTTTATGGGCATCATAACTTTTTTCTGATTGGTTGTTATGTTTCTATGCTGCTGTAGTTTTCAGTAAAGAAAGATATGCAAATATTCGCCTCCTGTCATTACTAAAATTAAGATTATTAGTACACTAAAGCTAATATAATCTTCAATTTTAGAGGAATATCATGTGACACAAAGTCAAGTTCACTGATAGGTTAAAGTCAGACTACTTCTAGAGGGAGATCACGTGACACCAAGACAAGTTCACTGATAGGTTGAAAGTCTGAGACCAATTCTAGCAAGACAGAATATGATAACAGGAGGACACTAATAGGCTAAGAGGACTATCTAGCAGGAAAACTCTTTAAAGAAGTGGCATTTTTGTGTCTATCAAATCATATGTTATATAAATTCTATGCTGAATCTTCTTTGCTTAAGAATCTAGATCAGTGATGCCTAAGCTTTGGCACTACAGCTATACTGGATAACATTAGCTAAACAAACAGATGGCAGAACAACATGGGAAGTGTACACGGAGGCTATCATGGAACAAGTTAAAGGGCCACTGTCAGCACCATAATAAGGTATGCAGATCAGGAATTAAGAGCATCAGAAATGGCAGAGCAAATAGTTTGTTTGAGCAAAGCTCACAGCAGAAGCTGCAAAGAGCAATCTGCAGCAAACTTAAAGGTTTTGTTTTTTTAACTTTATGATTTTTTGCATATATTTAAACAAATTATCTATATATTGCATTAATAATTAGGTCACCTGTCATTACAATTATTAGGAATAAATGCTAGTTTTAAAATGTACATTCTCTACACAGATTGACATATATGATTGAAGATACAAACTACTATTTCTTGTAAAGAACTTAAATGGAAACAGAGGGCAAAAAACAATAGTTGTGTATTGACTAAAAGATGTAACTGCAATGACAGACTGTGACAAAGCACCAAACACAGACCCACGGGTCCAATACAAATACCGTGGCTGTATATCAAATAAAACAATATGCAAGAAAAAGACCACATTTGAAATGTTCTGAATTATAATGTCTATATTAAAGAAGAAATTAAAGCTAAAAAACCCTGGCCTGCAATCTTTTTTATGGCTTCTTTGAAAGTTCCTTTTACGACCTGACTAGCTATTTAGCTGAGGTCCCTGGAGTCTGTCCCCTCTTTGAGGCCACCAGCTGATGGCTTTGCAGGCTGCAGTTCAAGACAACCAAAAGATTGATCAGTCATTCATGGGCTCTCATCTCTGCACAGCACGGCTAATTTGCCCTTTTCAACTTCCGATTGCCTGCCTGGACACTCATTCAGCCTTTTAACTGAACCAGTCAAGGCGTGGGGCTTCCTGCGTCTGTAATTAACAACTCGTTGGCAGAATTATAAGGAGCTGGCGGGTCTTGCTCTCACATCTGGACAGCATGGGTCCCAGCGTGTTTAGTTAGCCTGCAGCTCTGACCAGCCTCTCACTCCACCACCCATTAAAGGACATACAGAAAGAATAAGCAATGGTTACTGTGTAGGAGATGGTCCACTGACCTGAGAAGAAAGGCCCTTCTTATGGATCTTCTTGTAAATGAGAGCCGGACAGATGAAACAGATTAAACTGCCCATGGTGGCTCCAGTGACACCCAGGATGGTCTCCACTGTCACAGAGAGAGAGAGAGAGAGAGTATTAATACTGGTTTACTTATAAAGCCCAAACAAATTCTACATCACAGCTATAGGATGACAAATCCTATATATATCTATATATATCTGCTGATCATTAGAGAGCTACCTTCTCCTGCTAACGGGAGCAAGAAAGGGGGGTTCTAGTAAAACGGGGATGTCCAGGGCAAAAATGGAATTGCAAGTGGCAGAATTGAGCTTAAAGTGGGTGGAGTAATGTTTCAGAGTGGAGATGGTCTGTGTGTAGGAAGGGTTAAACCGAATCACTCCCACCAGGAGATAGACCTACTTCCTGAGAGGCACTGAGGACCCAAGGATTCAATCACATGGCCTCAGCACGGACTGTGTGTGCCCAGGTATTCCTATAACAGTCGGTCATATCTGAGCTCCATTAACTCTGCATTCATACAGGCAGATAATTCAGCTTGTCTGATTCTGATTAGAGTATATTTATCTGCTTGTGCAGACCGCTTCACATTTGTTGAGGGGGGAGTCCACATAGAAGTGTAAATTATTATATAGAGTATCAAGCAGGAAAGACATTTAACACTATAGACCAGTTTCATATTGCAGCAGCTGATCAGCGTGGGAGTTGCTTGCGTTCTATATGGCTGCCCCAAACACTACGGAGATAGTAATCTCCTTTAAGGATTTAATGTGAAAATCACTTTAATAATAAAATGAGAATAAAATATTAGGGGTATTTTTGCTGAAGAGATTAGTTGTGAGATGATAAAACAGGATAACCAGCTTTCCAAAATATATTCGGAAAAAATTTAATTAGAAATTGCATTTCAGATTATGCTCAAATTAGCAGACCAAAACATTGATTTCCACCCGCATTATATACAGGCATGGGTCGTGTGACCATAAGATAGATCTAGAGCTAGCAAAGAATCATGGGAGTTTTAGTTCCATAACAGCCAGAGAGCTAACTTTGGTCCCTGTTGGTTTAGGACAATAAGGTAAAGAGCCAGAAAAGGGTTTAAATAAACTAAAGTTTACTAAACTGAGTTAACTAAACTAAAGTTGATGTCAAGACAGTTTCTCAAGATAGACATAGCTGGTTAAAGAGCGGGGAAGGGATGTGCTGTACCGTTAATGAGAGGAAAGTACTCACCATTTGGGATCAGTATCCCACCCAGCATGGTGCCAAAAACTACAGTGAGCGTGAGCACTTTAAATCGCAAAGGAGGCATATATCCACCAGCAGCGAATGTCCCATCTTTTTGCTGTAAATAGAAAATAACAGTGAAGGACTGACCAAGTGAAGGACTGACCAAGGATCCTGATGTTAATTACTGTCCAGGTACCCGGTCCACACAATAAACACAGGTCTTCATAAAAATCCTTAAAACACATGTCTTTAAGCAATGAGCGAACGGGATTCTCTAAAGGGACAATATTGGAACCCAGATCACTTCAGCTCATTAAAGTGGCCTGGGTGCAGTGTCCCTGTACCCCTTAGTCCCGCAATGTAAAACATTGCAGTTTTTGAGGAACTGTCCACCAGCCAGCCACTAGAGGTATTTGGGGGATTTTAGCACAATTAAGGTCGCCTAATTAATGCGAACGTCCTCCCGCTCTGCATGCATTAAAAATTGGACCACCTGTCTGGGGTTCCATCCTAGACATTAGGGGAAGTTATTTAGGAGAAAAAGTTATTTATTTTACCTGCTGCTCAAATAGAAGAGTGTTGAGGGCCTGCCTGCACGGCAATATCATCATTGGAAAGCCGACCGCCACAGACATCATGAAGCCCACTCTGATCATCTCGGTCACCAGATTTGAGGGGAAATTAACCAGCACGTTCCCAGCAATGGTGTCTGTAAAACTGACATAGCCGAAGAAGCCCACCTGTGGGAACGGAAATGAAATATGCGCTTTTTTAACATCCTTTCATCAAAAACAAGCTTTAACAGTGAATAGACAAATTCCGTTATTCACTGCAGGCACGCTATGAATTCTTATGGTTGCGGCCTGGTATCTTCTACAGATCACTTTAAACTGGAGTCCACCATCACTCAGAGAGTCCTTATTCACATCTCGGCCACCTCTTTCCAATTGCTGCCACTTCCTGTTCTTCTCATAGCACACACTCTGGTGACGTCTGCTTTGTTAATCTGCAAGGTGGGCAGGATCAACTGTAAAATCAGGGCAGCAACTGAGCATGAAACAGCCGGAGTGAGAGCAGAGAGAAGACGGAGTGACAGGTGAGAGAGGTCACTTCTGATATAAGACAAATTAGGGACTCCTTTATCTTATGTACTAGATGATTATTGAAAAAAATGGCAAAAAGTGATACTTTAAACAGCTAAAGCTTGTTGCATCTCGCCATTTCCTATCAGAAGTCGCAGGTAATGGCGGAAAGGAACCAATATCTTCTCTCACAACTAGCTACAGAATAGAATCTCATTGTGCAAGAAAATCAACGGAGAGTCTTGTGGTCTCACAGCATCTTTCAGTCTTCGCCATTTTGTACTTTGCGCATAAACAAGAGAACATCAGTGACACAACCAGACAGCTTTATCTGCCAAGAGGTGAACCATAAGATGGCAGCCTTAAGGAAGGAGAGTTTTGGGTAAGTATTTCTCCCTTGCCCCACTACTACTGGGTACAACCAGGGGAAGGGTCTTAAAAAAAAATAAGATGCAAAGACCCCACAAGCAGCAGTGGCGTTCTAAGGCAGCTATTTACCAGCCTCGGTACAGATCTTGCCCCTCCCCCATAACATGGACTTACGGTCACGTAGAATGTGGTCACCACATTGAGCGATAGAGCGAAGATCGAGCTCATGATCTTAACAGAGGGTTCATCCAGGCTGTCGTAGGTGGGCAGGACTTGGCTGAACAAAAACAGAGAAAGCTAAAGTGAGCTTTACTTTACACATAGTAACACAACCTACACATGGCACAGAACAGTCACCCTTACACAGAGCATAATCTCAGAATTTGCCATAAATAATGATAAAGGAACACTATAGGGTCAGGAACACAAACATGTATTCCTGACGCTATAGTGCAAAACCCACCATTTAGGTGGCTTCCCCCCTCCCCTTAGCCCCTTTAAAAGATAATAAAACTCACCTTATTTCCAGCGCCGTGTGGACTCGCCGGCGCTGGGCCTGCCCCCTTGGTGGCATCATCAGAATTGCCGATTCTTAGCCAATCCAATGCTTTCCTGAAATCGGCAATGCTTTTGGCTAAAATCGGCAAGGGGCGGGGCCAAACGCTGTTTTGGCCAATCTGCACCTCCTCATAGAGATGCATTAAATCAATTCAGGAAAATTCAGCGTCTCCATGCAGTGTCTGGAGACGCTGAACAGTAGTGCAGCACTGAGCCAGGAAGCACCTCCAGCGGCCATTTGAGGAGCGGCCACTTGGAGGTGTCCATAGGGGCAATGTAAACACTGCCTTTTCTCTGAAACATAGAAACATAGAATGTGACGGCAGATAAGAACCATTCGGCCCATCTAGTCTGCGCAATTTTCTAAATACTTTCATTAGTCCCTAGTCTTATCTTATAGTTAGGATAGCCTTATGCCTATCCCATGCATGCTTAAACTCCTTTACTGTGTTAACCTCTACCACTTCAGCTGGAAGGCTATTCCATGCATCCACTACCCTCTCAGTAAAGTAATACTTCCTGATATTATTTTTAAACCTTTGTCCCTCTAATTTAAGACTATGTCCTCTTGTTGTGGTAGTTTTTCTTCTTTTAAATATAGTCTCCTCCTTTACTGTGTTGATTCCCTTTATATATTTAAATGTTTCTATCATATCCCCCCTGTCTCGTCTTTCCTCCAAGCTATATATGTTAAGATCCTTTAACCTTTCCTGGTAAGTTTTATCCCACAATCCATGAACCAGTTTAATAGCCCTTCTCTGAACCCTCTCTAAGGTATCAATATCCTTCTGAAGATACGGTCTCCAGTACTGTGTATAATACTCCAAGTGAGGTCTCACCAGTGTTCTGTACAATGGCATGAGCACTTCCCTCTTTCTACTGCTAATACCTCTCCCTATACAACCAAGCATTCTGCTAGCATTTCCTGCTGCTCTATTACATTGTCTGCCTACCTTTAAGTCATCAGAAATAATCACCCCTAAATCCCTTTCCTCATATGTTGAGGTTAGGACTCTATCAAATATTCTGTACTCTGCCCTTGGGTTTTTACGTCCAAGATGCATTATCTTGCACTTATCCACATTAAATGTCAGTTGCCACAATTCTGACCATTTTTCTAGTTTACCTAAATCATTTGCCATTTGGCTTATCCCTCCTGGAACATCAACCCTGTTACATATCTTAGTATCATCAGCAAAAAGACATACCTTACCATCAAGACCTTCTGCAATATCACTAATAAAAATATTAAAGAGAATGGGTCCAAGTACAGATCCCTGAGGTACCCCACTGGTGACAAGTCCAAGCTTCAAATATATTCCATTAACTACAACCCTCTGTTGCCTGTCACTCAGCCACTGCCTTACCCATTCAACAATATTGGAATCCAAACTTAAAGATTGCAGTTTATTGATAAGCCTTCTATGTGCAACAGTGTCAAAAGCCTTACTGAAATCTAGGTAAGCAATGTCTACTGCACCACCCTGATCTATAATTTTAGTTACCCAATCAAAAAAATCAATAAGATTAGTTTGGCATGATCTCCCTGAAGTAAACCCATGTTGTCTCTGATCTTGAAATCCATGTGTTTTTAGATGTTCAACAATCCTATCCTTTAACATGGTTTCCATCACTTTCCCCACTACTGAAGTAAGGCTTACTGGCCTATAGTTGCCCGACTCCTCCCTATTACCTTTCTTGTAAATGGGCACAACATTCGCTAACTTCCAATCTTCTGGGACTACTCCTGTTAACAATGATTGGTTAAATAAATCTGTTAATGGTTTTGCTAGTACACCACTAAGCTCTTTTAATAGCTTTGGGTGTATTCCATCAGGTCCCATTGACTTATTTGTCTTTACTTTTGACAGTTGAAATAGAACCTCTTCCTCTGTAAACTCACGTGTAATAAATGACTCATTTATCCTTTTTCTCAACTGAGGTCCCTTTCCTTCATTTTCATCTGTAAATACAGAACAAAAATATTCATTGAGGCAGTCAGCCTGACCTTTATCCTCTTCTACATACCTTCCTTCTTTTGTTTTTAATCTAACTAATCCTTGTTTTACTTTTCTTTTCTCATTTATGTATCTAAAAAATGTTTTATCCCCCTTTTTTACTGACTGTGCTATTTTCTCTTCTGTGTGTGATTTGGAAGCTCTTATAACTTGCTTAGCCTCTTTCTGCCTAATCTTATAGATCATTTTGTCTTCCTCACTCTGGTTTTTTTTATAATTCCTAAATGCTAACTTTTTGTTTTTAACTATTTTGGCCACATCTGCGGAGTACCACAGTGGTTTCTTGAATTTTTTGCTTTTACTGACAAGCCTAATGCAATTTTCTGTTGCCTTCAATAGTGCAACTTTTAAATAATCCCATTTCTCTTGGACTCCATTTAAATTGCTCCAGTCTGATAATGACTCCTCTACCCATATTCTAATTTTAGAAAAGTCTGTTTTTCTAAAGTCTAAAACTTTTGTTTTTGTGTGGTGTGACTCAGTCACTGTTCTTATATTAAACCACACTGACTGATGATCACTGGATCCTAAACTTTCACCTACAGTAATATCTGATACCAAATCTCCATTTGTTAACACTAAATCTAGTATGGCCTCTTTACGAGTTGGCTCCTCAACAACTTGTTTTAGAGACAATCCCAGTAGGGAGTTTAGAATATGTGTGCTCCTGGCACAAGTAGCTAATTTTGTTTTCCAATTTACATCAGGAAGATTAAAGTCACCCATGATGATAACTTCCCCTTCATTGTCATTTTAGCTATTTCCTCAACTAGTAGATTATCTAACTCTTCAATTTGTCCTGGGGGCCTATAAATCACACCTACACGAGTTACTGTGTGATTACCAAATTCTAACGTAGCCCAAACGGACTCTATGTTTGCCTCACTAACTTTTATTAGGCTAGATTTTATGCTATCCTTCACATACAAGGCCACCCCTCCCCCTTTCTTGCCTTCCCTATCTTTCCTATATAAAGAGTACCCTGGTATTGCTATGTCCCAGTCATTTTTCTCATTGTACCATGTCTCAGTAACAGCGACTAAATCTACACTATCAGTTGCCATTATTGCCACAAGTTCATGGATCTTATTCCCTAAACTGCGAGCATTTGTAGACATGACTCTAAGCTTATCATTTTTTAACACACTTGCTACAGGCACCTTCTGTCCTTGTTTTGGGGGACAATTGGATTGATGTTTTATCACCCTTTTGCCCCCCCCTCCTAGTTTAAATACATCCTAGCAAAACCTCTGAACTGCTCACTGAGAACATTTGTTCCCTTTTGAGAAAGATGCAAACCATCTTTTTTGTACAGCTTATCTCCATTCCAAACAGGCAGTGTTTGCATGAAAATGCCTGAAGGGAACTACTATACTCACCAGAACATTTACATTAAGCTGTCAACCGTACATTAAGCTGTATACCGTACATGAAGCTGTAGTGTCCCTTTAAGAATTTGTGGTTTGTGTCTTTTTTATTTTTTTTATTTCCAGGTACTTATTTAGGGTTTAGGAAAGAACATCACATGAAAGATGTATACAAATGCACACCTTTCTTTTTTTATTTTTGGGTGCATGGGGGGAAGGGGGGAGGAGGTTACATAAGAGAAAAGATAACAGAGAAACTAAGAAGCTAATTTTGCCTACTGTGGACACTTTGTGGCTGCAGTTATGCAACTATTGATTTTTGTTAGAATGGAAACCTGTGGATATCTATTACTCTATTAAGAAAAAGATTCCAGCGATGGCCAATGTCGAAAATCCGTAACAGGACAATGAAAGTGAACAGAAAGCGAGGGATCTTTATTTTACTGCTTAAAATGGAAGATTGCGGCTGTAGAACTCAGTTTACAATGTAAGGAAGAAATAAAGCATTAAGCTATTCTGGATGCTGACAGACACACACACACGTTCTATGTAAATGTGTTATGTGACTACGTTCGGTTTAAAGACAGTATTCTGAAGAAAAACAGTTATCTAAAACACACACACACAGAAACAAACAAAGAATAACAACTGGCAACAGAAACACAAGTACGCGGTAATTTTACACTAAAGGACCTTGGGAAAAAGTGCCTTGCTGCTTAGCAACCCATAATTTCCCACTGTTAGATCAGGAGTTATCTACAGGTGGCATAGCACATTACCCACTCATTATACAGCAATAAGGGCTAGGAGAAAAAGCAGTATGGCTGTGTGGGATTGAAGTTTTAATAACTGAAACAAAACACGCCATGATTTAATGTATTAGTTTAAAACAACTCTTATCTGGAATGATACAGGTTGTCCTAGTATCAGAATGTGGCCCAGTTAGTCTAGTCAGCTGCAAGCTGTCTGCAACACTCGATTTGTTTTAAGTGGGACACCTTCCCCTCCTCCTCCTGTCCACGTAAGCCAACAGGCAATGTTAACATTTCATTAGGAAAGTGTTAGAAAACGTACGAGCTGCCCAAGGATGTGACTGAGCAGAGCAGGCGCTGACAGATCCCAGAAAGGGTGACATGGCTCGAGCAGGGTGCTACGGTGGGGGAGTCCATCAGCAGGGAGTGGCTGCTAAATATATCACTTGCCCACCTAATCATCTGCTGGTAGTCTGGTTTTCATATTCCTTTATTACCATCACAGATTGTCACCTGGTGTGGGTGGGAATCACCGACCTTATTCAGTGCTACCCAGGACATTCTAGATTGCAAGCTCTTGTGAACTCTTACTACTTTATTAAGTCTGATGGTGCTCAAACACCTTGAGGATTATTCATAAATACCAAAGTGTGGTAAATGAAAAAGTGAATGGTAAAAATTAGGCTGACATAGATCACAGTTGGTTTTTGCAGTTTTTATATTTTAGCCTAAGGTTGAGACCTTTGTACCACAAAAGAACAACCAAACCAGGCTGAGTGGACCGGCAGCGCTGGGTGAAGTGTTGGGTTCAATGTGATTTTTCTTTTTTATACATATTTTGAAGGTTTTTTTTAATTATTTTGCACAGTGTGTTCTTCATATATAAGTACGTGATGCCTATGGAGCATGCTATACGTAATAATTTTATGCCTCTTCTTGAGCACCTTAGTAGACCTTCCCCCACCCCTATTACTCAGGGGTTACTGATAACTTTAAGAATCACCACAAGAGCCTGATTTTACTTTCTAATCCCAGTCACTGCCCAATATATGCCATCTTCACTTTAATGGATTTCAAGGCCTGTAATATTATTCTATCCACCTCTGATTCTATATAGAGTTCTTTCTGTTCTATTTGCAACTTGTTTGCGAGACTCCTCTTAGTTTCTTGATTCTTCCTATAGACATATATTATATAAATTAAAATGGGTCAATTCATATAGCATTCGGGATGTTCAAAAGTCCAAGTTATATGCACCAAGATCAAAGTTTTTTTGTTCTTGCCCGTTTACCAGTATATTAAGCTTTGTCCCTTATTAGGAATAGTTTTTTTTCTGTCCTTTCATAAAAATGTGCAGAATATGCCTCGAAACCGGTTACATTTCAGCTGATCTGTGTGTGTTTTTATCTCTGCACAAATAACATATAATAAGTAAAACAATGAGGAGGAAGCTAACTGTGAAAACATGAGAACATTGCAAAACGTCAGTCATACAAAAAAAGTCAAAATACAAAGTTTTACTGAACTAATTTAATTCGATTAGTTAACAATACTAATTAATCATAGTTCAGGCGTCTAAGGCCTTAAACTGCAGTTAGATATCCATGATGTCATATAAGACTAACCTACAAACAACAATGAAGTCTTGGGTGTGTTTTAAGGAATGGATACTAGAGCTGGGGTGTACTCAGACTATTACAGAACTACATTTCCAATAATGCTTTATAAGCCCCGAGGCTAGCAAGGCATAATGGGAGTTGTACAGTTATCCCTGTAGAAGAGTATGTTTGGGCCTAAGAGTATATGTAAAGAGGGGGTTAGTATATGGGTAATGGCCCTTGTTAGAAAGGTTCAAGGTCAGAGGCCTTAATAAAAGGTGACCGAAAGAAACAGAATGGCCATAGACAATCCACTGAACAGGGCCCCAGAAGGGTCATTTAACAGCAAACAATGCTCTAGTGTTTAGCGAAGAAAGTTACAGATAAGAATCAGAGCTCAGGGGAGACAAAATGACAGATCTTGGAAAAAATTAAAAATAAAGTGCGGATGCATATGCTGCGATCAGTATGGAAAGCATCTTATTAGCATTTCTTTAATCCTCCTTTTACAGGCAGTATTTGGACAGTGTTGTCAGCAGGCTTCCCAGGATAGTGGATACTTAGTGAAGGTGCTGACTGACATGGCCCCCCCAGACAGCATCAAAGCACAGGATTTACAATAAGCTCCAGCACACGCAGCGGATACTGCTAGGGAAACAGCTAATATAATTGGGCCTAGCAAAAACCGCAAAAAAACCTACAGGTCTTTACTTTACTGTACCCGGTTTTGGGAATGATTACAAATAAATAAAAATGTGCTTAGAAGTAATTGAACTTATCAGCTTTCCTTTTGTTTTAGCTTGTTCTCAACGGAACAGAAACCCTAGAATGAAAGTGGTCTTATTTCTAAGGTCGAGCCACATTATATGCTGACAGTCTGCGTGCTCAAGATGTATATATACCAAATAAGTTTTGGTGGAGAAAAAGGTGTAGATGAAAACCCCTTCCACCTGAAATAAGTGGATAGTTAATACAATGTTAAACACAAATACACACATCAGGCAAGCCATAAGACTTGCTTTTACCACAGAAATCTCACTTGAACAGTGTTCTCACTACTGTAAGGGATTCTGGGTAGTTCTGGGTATGCATATGCAAATGACCTCAACAAAGAACCACATTTTTGCCTCATAATCCCACTTTATACATGGATTCCTTGGAGTAAGTGTCTGCTCTATACAATTGCTTTGAAACAAAACTCCGGAAGAGGTGCAATGGCAGTGAACCACTCATGGACAGCTGTTTCGTTGCTATATATTTGTATTCGTTCAGGTAACCATACTAGTTAATCATAATACAGGCGTCCAAGGCCTTAAACTCCAGATCTGTAATAAGTTAGATATCCATGATGTCATATAAGATCAACCAACACAGAAAAATGAAGTCTTTGGTGTATTTTAAAAAATAAAAGGCTACTAGAGTTGGGGTGCATATCCTCCTGAGACCCAGCCAATTAACTTGTGTCCTCTGTACTGGTCATTCCGTTAACATGCATCTGCTTTTATTATTTTGAGCTGCTCGATCAATCCCTGTTGTATTGTAAAGAGGACATCCTGGGCTTTCCAGTGATATGTCATGTGATAGGCTGGGATGTCGGGAACGTCCTCTTCATTTTCAAACATGGTGGCATATTGGAAGACAAGTGTTTCCTTGGTTCCCAGGAGGATACAATGGTTGTTCTCACCCCTCCTGGGTGGTATATTTATTCCTCATTCTCAGATCCTTTACCAGAGGCCTGGGAGTTTGAGGGTTCTGCACAGTATCTTAGCGTTCCTAGATCTGCACCCTTCTGGACAGCGATCTCAGATTAACCATCTGGAATCTGCTAAAGTCACTCCCCCAACTTGGGAGTCACAGTCCTAAGTGAACTTATTACAATTGGAAATACTACTGTCTTCACACATCCATATCTCTCTCTCTCGTGTGAAAATGTTAAATACTCATTACAATGTGTGACAAGAAATATAAACACAACGACCATGTGTACAGCCACTGTATAGCAAAAAGTTAAATACTAGTGAATATATGTCACCTACTAAAGGTTTTTTTAATAATGCATTTCTACATAATGTGTGACACCTTCATATATTATTATACAAGTAACTAGAAAGCTTGTTTCGATACACAGTGATAAAAGATTCATGTATATTGAATTGTAACAGCAAGCAAGGACACCAGTCAGTCAGTCTATCAGTCAAAAACTAAGGAACAAAATTGGACTTCCATAAAAATACTCATTAATGGGACACTATAGGCACCCAGACCATTTCAGCTTATTGAAGTGGTCTGGGTACAGTCCCCTATTGCCTTTAGTCCTGCAATGTAAAACATTGCCACTAGAGGCGCTTCCCAATTGCTAGGTGACAATTGGTCGCCCAACTGACACTGGACCCTCACGCTCTGCATAAGAACATTCGGCATCTATTAAATCCCCATAGGTAATGATAGAGTCAATGCTTTCCTATAATGAGGGCCTATTGCGGTGACGACGGAGGAGGCGCGGCACTGGGATCGGGTAAGTAAATAAAGGTTTTGTTTTTTTAACACTTTAACTGGGGTGGGGCCAGAGGGAGCTATAGTGGAAGGAATACAACTCTGAATTCCTAACATAATAGTATCCCTTTAATAACATTACCCATACAGCTCTATGAGGCTATATTAGGATTACAAATTTAATTAGAGAATGGTCCCAACCAAATGACACAAATAGATAAATCACAGCTTGGTTATCTACCCAACAAATATGTTAATTAGCACATGCTAAAGTATGGATCTTATATTGGGGTGTACCCAATGTGGAAAAAGCATCTTGGTAATTACACGTAAAACGACTATAATTACACAAAATTAAAAAGAATTGGTTGGAAAATATTGTGTATACAGATTTACATTAAGACATTTTCAAGCATTAAAATTTTATGATGCAGGGTGAAACCGCACACAAGAACTCCATGTTAAACCTCATGCATGGCATCACACAATGGTCATACTTACGACTGGCACGCAAATGACATTCCAAAGATAGGTATGCAGCGGAAGACGCCCTCCCAGCGGGCATAACTGACTTCGCCAATCCATTGACCATTAAAAAGGCCATGTTTAAAAGAGGACAGCACAATCTGATAGAGAAAAAAATAAATATGAAGAAACAAATAAGACTTCTAATAGCTGCTACAGTCTGTATTCTGTGCTACTGAATGGTTTGGTCACACAAAATCCCGTTATCTACATATGATTTTCTTTCCTTCTTATAAAATTGATAAAGCTTGGGGTCAACATTCTCAAAGTGAAGCAAAAAGCAGGAACATTTCCTTGGTTTCCCTCGTTACTACACAACAATTACAAATACAAATAGAAGCGGTGAGAGAGAGCAGCCGTGTCAGATCCCAGTCATATTCCGTATCGGGTTTAAAAGGCAGAAACATGGCAAAGGGAGCGATAATATATATATATATATATATATATTTATTTATATATATATATATATATATTTTTTTCTCTACTCCGGGATACATTTGAAGAGCTTATTTGAAATAATTAAAGGGACACTATAGGAACCCAGAGCATTTCAGCATATTGAAGTGGTCTGGGTGCATTGTCCCTTTTGCACTTAGTGCTGCAATGTTAAATATTGCAGTTCCAGATATTTACATTGTAGAGAGGACCATGAACAGACCCGTGGGCAGCAAGAGGCCCAACTTATTCAATTGAAAGAATATTACCATGAGAAAATCTAATAGTATAATTATCTTTAATTGTAGTGATATGGTTTTCAGATCAACTTTGACGTCAGATTCAATCAGACCCTTTCAAACCAGTGCTAAAGTTCTGAAAAATATATCTGAATTCTACCTTAACGCTGTGTCTGAGTTATTTAACTAAGCTGGTAATTGGGGGAATAGATGAGAAAACTAATATTTCAGACCAAAATACTTGAACTAGGAAAAAATTATTAAATCTCTAAATCAGCTATTTCTTTCTTTTGCTCAGCTATTTTGATTTTGAATTTACTCATTAATTCTCTGTGATTCCTGGTTTAGTGTATCAGATATTGATCTGTTATTAAGACACTGAAAAGCCCCTAATGGAAATGAATACCTTGCTAGAATTAGCAGAAACAAGCAAAGGATACCTCGTCAGGTTACAGAAAGCAGAAAATGCTTAGACATCATTACTTTCCAGCAGGCAGGATTTTAAAACAACAAACCAAAACCCGTTCACCAATATAATAAAGCACTCGGCGTGCTAATAAAGGGGGTGAACTGGAAGTGTGCCCTGATGATGTGGTGAACTGTAATTCAGTTGGCTTAAGAGGTGCAGGTTACAAACGATAACACCAAAACACTTACACATAGGAAACTGATGGAAAACAGGATTCTCAGGATGATTCTAATGGTTCATCGGGTTAGCTATATGCGGAATAGAGTTTCTTTATGGAATTATTATTCAATACCTCCACTGGAAGGTCATTCTAGGTACGTACTGACCCTTCTATAAAGAAAGCTTTGCTCATATTAACCCTCAATTTTCCAGTTATTCACTTTAAATGAGGTCCTTTTTTAAAAAACTGTATTCATATTTTGCATTAAACATTTTCTAAAAGTGGTGAAAAAAATTTGGTAAATAGAATTCACATGATGCTTTAAGCTGGAAGGGCAGGAAAGACATTTAAATACACACACACAGACACACACATTTTTGAAGCAGTCACTTAAAATTATATCTTACTGCAAACCATTTGTTAACCCTCTAACTGCCAGAGAGATGCTTACATCACCCGCAATAAAATAGTACAATACAAACCCAAACCAAACAAGAATTCTATTTCATCTGATTGCATCTACCGCATTCATCGCAATATTTCAGCTAATGTTGGAATACAACTCCTCACGATCCCCTGCCAGTCAAGTCTGGGAATTATATGCCACAACATCTGAGCTGACACTCCTGGTCTAAGGTAGACTGTAAGCTTTGCAGACGAGAACTCTTAGAATCCACTGTGTATTACTCTGCTGAACTAGTAACCAAGTCGAGAGAATTAGAATACTTAACTGGATGGAAACCGGCCAATAACTGAGAAATATAAAGAACGCACAGTATGGCAATCTACTCTCTCACTGCAGTGGAACATGCTCGTTCCAATAGCTTACCACAAACATGAAGACCATGTAAAACATTAGAGCCATCGCACTGAAAGACTGGATCGAAGCCATCATGTTGCGCTGGAGGCTGAGAGGGAGGACGATGCACAGAGAGACTGCGAACAGGAGAAAGATGCGGAATCCTTCAGTCACCTGCAGGACAATTAGCATGGTTAGGATAAATACCACATAGGCTCAAAGCAGGAAGAAGTATGTCTTTGTAAAGGGTCCCTCTGCCAAGTTAATAAAACTAGCTGCACGGTATAAACTTAAATGGATACTATAGGCACCAAAACAACTATAGCTTAAAAGAACACGCAAAGCCTGAGGACGACCAGTGTTGGTTCACAGAGTTAAACTCTGTGGAAATCGAGAAGACAGACACTAGAGGCAGTATAAACTCTGCAATATAAACTCTGCAGAGTTAAGGAGACAAGGACACTGCGCCCAGACCACTTGAATGAGAGGACGTTGTCTGGGTGCCTATAGTGTCCCTTTAATTAGGCAGTTTTGGTGTATAGATCATGTGCCTGCAGTCTCTTTACCATTTAGGAGTTAAAGCACTTTGTTTATGTAGCCCTAATCACATCACCCTTCATGTAATTTACAGAGTCTTCCTAAACTCTTACTGTAAAGTCATCTAATGTTTACACTTCCTTTACTTCCTTAATTTCTCATTTCCTGATCTGTTAATAGCCAGCTAGACCCGGCAGAGGCCTCCTTTCTGTGATTAAGGTTCAATTTACAGAGCAGGAGATATAAACTTCTAAAGCAAGCTAACATCTGATTGAAAATGAAACCATTTTTTTAATACAGGCTGTGTCAGTCACAGCCAGGGGAGGTGTGGCTAGAGTTGCATAAACATAAACAAAAGTGATTTAACTCCTAAATGGCAAACAATTGAGCAGTGAGACTGCAGGGGCATGATCTGTACACCAAATCCGCTTCATTAAAGGACCACTATAGTGCCACTATAGTGCCCAATTCGGCTTAATTGGTTTTAAATTTGAAATTCACTTTGAATTCCCAACAATTCTCATTTCAGTAAATCATCCTTTAGTATTTGGAAACTTGCAAATGGTAAATCCCTGACAATCATGAGAATAACACAATAACGTGAACTGCAAATCGTCATAGAAACCATGTAGTCCCAAGTCTTGTGAATAAGCCAGTCGCTCTCGGTAAAGCGACATTTGCTTGGAACATGCGTTATCATGCAAGGGGATGTGTGACAAATCTTACATTGCCAGCAACTGCAACATGCTTCAACACATTACGGCAGGCCCCGATTCCAACAATTGCAACATGCTATATGCTACAACGCATTAGAGCATGCTACGATACCAGCAACTGCAGCAACGCATTACAGCATGCTACGATACCAGCAACTGCAGCAACGCATTACAGCATGCCACGATGCAGCAACTGCAACAATGCATTACAGCATGCCACGATGCCAGCAACTGCAATGCATTATAGCGTCCCATGATGCCAGCAACTGTAGCAATGCATTACAGCATGCCACAATGCCGTCAACTGCGGCAATGCATCACAGCATGCCACGATGCAGTCAACTGTGGCAATGCATTACATCATGCCATGATGCCGACAACTGCAGCAATGCAGTACAGCATGCCGTGGTGCCGGCAACGGCAACGCAGTACAGCACGCCGCGGTGCCGGCAACAACGCAGTACAACATGCCGTGGTGCGGCAATGGCAGCAACGCAGTACAACATGCCGTGGTGCCCGCAACTGCATCAATGCATTACAGCATCCCGCGGTCCCGGCATCTGCAGCAGTGGATTACAGCATGCCATGGTGCCGGCAACTGCAACTTGCTCCGACGCATTACTGCATGCCACGATGCCGGCAACTGAAACATGCTACATTCACAACTAAGGCAGTTACAAGTAGAACATTATGTATTTCTTGTGGTGAGGGTAATGGGATGGCAGAAGGGGTTGAAGTGTCTTTATTTTGTAACCCATTAGTGCTTGCAGATTATTGCATCTCTATGGAGCATGGGCAAGGAGGGCCCACCGCATCTCTATGGAGCTTGGGCAAGGAGGGTACACTGCATCTCTATGGAGCTTGGGAAAGGAGGGCACCCTGCATCTCTATGGAGCTTGGGCAAGGAGGGCACACTGCATCTATGGAGTTTAACTCAGGTATACAAGACTGATTTAGAAATTGTGATGAATTTCAAAGATGGCCAACTCCACATGGAGAAGCAGTCACATCTTGTAATTACATCTACAATACTATAACTTGTTTACACAAAAATTTACATTAAGAAATCTTCATGCGTTAAAAGTTTATGATACAGCGAGAAACCGCGCTCAAGAACTCCATATTAAACCTCATACAGAGCATTAAACAATGGTGATACTTACTACTAGCGCACAAATTACATCCTAATCAGAGGTATGCAGTGGCAGATGCTCTCCCAGTGGGCATGGCAGACTTCACACATCTACTGCCCGCTAAACATGCCATGTTTGAAAGAGGGGGGTTAGAGTGTCTTTTAGGGATGCACCAAAATGAAAATTCTGGGCTGAAATACCCTTGGCCGAAAACGACTTTCCCCCTCAAATGCAATAGATCAATCTGGGAGGTAGACAAGAGGTTAAAACATAAAATATGTTTGAGGTAGCCGGAGGAAACTGGAGGTAAGACCAAAGGTACTAGTCTAGTAAAGTCACTAGACTAGACAAAGGTACTAGTCATAGAGGTGTAATTTTCGGCCAATATGACCCTTTTTCGTCCAAAATGGAATAGGCCCATTTTCAACCAAAATTTTGGTGCATCCATAGTGTCTTTAATTTATTTTAATTGTCACAAACTGGCACTCATAGATTATTTTCTGTCCATAAGGTGTTTAATTAAACAAAATAAAAGAATAATGCCGTTATAGTCTAGGCTTGTTTACTTTAGCCATAATTTTGCCAGATTTAATTTAACTGAATAACACCTTGAGTCTTGCAGTGGATTAGTAGATATGGGGCCATGTTTTACCTGCAATCCTAGTAACCTGGCAAAGAACGAGGAGCCCAAGTCTCCGATCACAACGTAGAAAGCAATGCAGGTCCCCAGCATTAAACCAATCATGCTGTGGAAAAAAGAGAGAGTGTTATGGATTTTAAATATGGTAATGAAAGCCGATTAACCATGAAGGACCAGGAATTCAGCAAACCTCACGCATTTCACTGCTCTGTAAAGCTTACTTCTCCTGATACACTCAACTTTAAAAGAACAATTCCTCTATATCTTCTGATATCAAATGTATAGATTTAGTAAAATACCTAAATAGTATATGGTCACCTAATAAACCTGTCAATTAAATCATAGCGTAAAATATTATGCCGATGCCAGGCACTGACAGGTAAGGAGTGGCATGACAGAGTTCTATAACTTGCAAACGTCCAAATTTATTGATGGATGGCAATACTTTTATTTTCTTGGGGGTGGGGAGGAAGTGATTTCATGTTTAGTGTCAGATCAGTACATTTCTCTGCAATGTACAGATTTAGCCTAGACTGTGTTGCTAAGAGGATCACGTCAAGGCTAGCTGAGTAATATTAATCAGAAATGTAAGAGGTGTGCCAAAAGAGATTGTTAAAAAATAATTATGCATTTAATGTAGCAGAGAGAATATATGAGTTTCAAAAATGTCTGAAAGGTGCAAAGATTAATTATTCCTGTTTTATAAGGATCATACCTTAAAATGTATGTAAATACAGATCTGCTTCACTGTCTTTTAGATTTCAATACCTAGATTGGGGTCATCAGACAGAGGACACTCTCTCCTTTCGTTTGTCTATTAAGCACATTTTCATTTCCAGTTTCTCCCGTGACAGAGTTAAGAAAAACAGTGTGAAACTAACTGGGAAAGAGACAGCTGATTTGTGTCAGCAACACGGACTGACGTGCTAGAATAAATTACCACCAACAAGTACATCGAGCCTCTCAATGTGCATTTACCTGGTCTCCACCAGCATTTTCCCGGCTTTTCCGTAGGCGTGGAAAGCTAAAGAGAGGAAAGAAGCAAAGAGATGGTGTTAGTGTGCATTTAACTTGCTGCGGGGTATGGGTGAGAAACGCGGGAAGAAAGTGTCTATAATTAGCTGGCACTGTCAGCAGCCCTGTTCATTTGGTGTCACAGTGAATTGAATTAACCTGGAATCAGCAGAGATGCTTACAACGTGGACTGGGTTCTCATGCCTTCCATCATGCCCTGTTTTAGCACTATACGCCAGCTCACAATAAAGCATCCCAATTTCTATCCCCTGGGACGCACCGGATGCTCTGCGACCCTCTATCACATTTACTTTAACCACCATAAGCACATCATAAGTGTGTTAAAATATTCTTAAATGAGACCAGTTAAATTGCCGGCATAATTCTAATAGCAGATTAAAAGGTTTTTTTTTACATTTGTGTTATGGGCAAAGCTTGTGTGCCCTTCACTGTAAATGTAAAAGAGTCACGGGGAAAAAGAAAGTACACCCTCTTTGAATTGTATGTTTTTTACATATCAGGACATAATGTGTTCCTTAGCAGATCTTAAAATTAGGTAAATACAACCTCAGATGAACAACACATTATATATTACACCAGGTCATTATTTAACAAAAATAAGACCAAAATGGAGAAGCCATGTGTGAAAAACTAATTACACCTTATGCTGTAATAGCTTGTAGAACCACCTTTAGCAGCCATACCTGCAGTAATCATTTTCTGTCTGACTATCAGTCTCTCACATCGTTGTGGAGGAATGTTGGCCGACTCTTCTTTACAAGGTTGCTTCAGTTAATTGAGGTTTGCTGGCATTTGTTTATGCACAGCTCTCTTAAGGTCCTGCCACAGCGTTTCAATCAGATTGAGGTCTGGACATTGACTGGGCCATTGTAACACCTTCTTTTCTTTTTCAGCCATTTGGTTGTAGATTTGCCTGTATGCTTAGGATCATTGTCCTGTTGCCTGACCTAGTTTCAGCCAAGGTTTAGCTGTCGGACAGATGGCCTCATATTGGACTCTAGAATTATTTGGTATACAGAGAAGTTCATGATCAACTCAATGGCTGCAAGATTCCCAGGTCCTGTGGCTTGACTGTTGGTTTGATGGGTTTGTGCGAATATGCTGTGTGTGGTTTTTGCCAAACGTGCTGCTGCTGTGCATTATGGCCAAACATCTCCACTTTGGTCTCATCTCTCCAAAGTACATTGTTCCAGAAATCTTGTAGTTGGTTCAGATGCAACTTTGCAAACACAAACCGTGCTGCCATGTACTTTTTAGAGTGAAAGGCTTTCTCCTTGCAACCCTTCCAAACAAACCATACTTGCTCAGTCTTTTTCTAATTGTACTTTCATGAACATTAATATTTAACATGCTAACTGAGGCATGTAGAGTCTAAGATGTAACTCTTGGTTTGTTTTATTTTGCAATTTCTCTAAGCACTGCACGGTCTTGAATGTTTTTCCACTTTTGAATAATCGTTCTCACTGTAGAATGATAGACTTTAAATTGTTAGGAAATGGCCTTATAACTCTTCCCAGTTTGATAGGCTGCAACTATTGCTTCTCTAAGATCATTGCCAATATCTTTCCTCCTTGGCATTTTGTTAACACACCTGAATGCTCCAGACCAGCAAACTGATACAAATTCAGCTTTTATAGAGGTGGTCATACTTGCTGATGATCAATTAATCAAGGGCATTTGATTAATTCCATTGGAAGCAGTAAGAGTGTACTTAGTTTTTCACATATGGCTTCCCCATTTTGGCTTTATTTTAAAGGAGCACTATAGGGTCAGGAACACAAACATGTATCCCTGACCCTATAGCAGGGTTAGGCAACCTACGGCACTTGAGGAGTCTTTGCACGGCACTCAAGGCTGCTAGAACCAAACAGGCTCTGGCCTATCAGGAGTCCCAGTAAAACTTCAGATATCTGCTAATCCAAAAAGGTGGTGAATGACAATCCTCAGTTTATGCAGTGCAGCACGTAGAGGTAGTGATCTCAGATCACTTCCTCCCAGCACTTGTGAATAGGAATCCACACTGTAGTAGAGCAGCTCGCAGTTGCTGTTGCAGCTCCTGTCCTTGACATGGACCTGGCCGACCTAGTCCCCAGTGGAAGCCACCCACACTGCTAGATATACACAGAAATGCAGAATAACCCTCCCCTCATACAAATAATACGGACAGCCCACACACAAACATACACACAATCCATACAAACGAAACACCACTAACAATCCACATACATGCACACAACCCCACATGCAATATCCCAAACAGCCCCCACACACTACCAAACACACACTGTGACATATCCATCCACACACACACTTCCACAAGCAGCCCCCATACACAGCCCACATTCATTTGTATCATACACAATACCATAAACTACTCATTTACATATACAATATAATAGCTCATATACGCAGGGCCGTCTTTAACGTGGGGTAAACTGGCCAGCTGCACCGTGAGCCCTGCTGGCCTCAACTATTTCTAACCCTCTGGCCGGTAATCTGCACACTAAGGAGGCCCACTGGATGGCCCATGCACAAAGGACCACCCGGTGGGCTTCTGTCAGCAGCGGCCCGGTCGCACGCTGAGGCGCTTTAACAGCGCGAGCGGGTCCCTTGCTTTTCGGCAGCAGGCTGGGAGGAAGTGACGGCCGCGCATCATTTCCTCCCACAAAGAGAGGAGCACGCGGGAAAGGAGAGTAAGCAGATTGGAGGGGGGCTGGCCGCGAGCGCTAGACCCCAACTCCCAAAACCTTCAGCCACCAGCAGGAAAGGTAGGAAACTGGAGAGTGGGTTTTAAAATGTATGTCTGTCAGTGTGTGTGTCATCTGTGTGTGTCAGTAGGTCTTTGTGTGTCAGTATGTCTGTGTGTGTCAGCATGGTCTGTGTGTGTCAGTTTTTAATCACCCGTGCAACAGGGAGACCCCCAAAAATTCTTGCACCTCTCTACTTTAGGTCCGCCACTGCGTTGAGGTGGAGGACGTGATTGCATGCCTGGGGAGGGGGGACAGGGTTCAGGGGGCCCCAAGCAAATGCTTTCCCAGGGTCCAGTCACTATTAAGGACAGCCCTGCCTATATGCACAAATACAACGATACGAAGCAATTACAGTAAAAATAACACAAGCAGAATACGGCAGCATACACACCTCCATTAAAAAAATAAAATTAAAAAAAAAAGGACCGGCACGCAACAGGACATCACAATCCTTTATTGCCACAGTGCGGCTAAAAGGTTGCCTACTCCTGCCCTATAGGTTAAAACCACAATCCAGCCACCCTGTCCCCCTCATGCCTCCCTAAAAATAGTAAAATCTTACTTGTATTCAAGCCTGAAGCTGTAACTCTGCATGCTGTTTGTCTCAGAAAAACAAGCGGTCTGCTGACATCATCAGAAGTGGTAGCCTAATCCAATCACAATGCTTCCCCATAGGATTGGCTGAGACTGACAAAGAGGCAGATCAGGGGCAGAGCCAGCACAATTCAAACACAGCCCTGGCCAATCAGTATCTCCTCATAGAGATGAATTGAATCAATGAATCTCTATGACGAAAGTTCAATGTCTGCATGCAGAGGGAGGAGATACTGAATGTTTGGATGCATTTTAGGCAGCCATGACCCAGGAAGGATCTCTAACAACTATCTGAGGCGTGGCCAGTGAAGTTATCACTAGGCTGTAATGTAAACACTGCATTTTCTCTGAAAAGACAGTGTTTACAGCAAAAAGCCTGAAGGTAATGATTCTACTCACCAGAACAAATTCAATAAGCTGTAGTTGTTCTGGTGACTATAGTGTCCCTTTAATTAATAAATCATGGCACAGTAATATATCATGTGTTGTTGTTCACCGGAGGTTGTATTTACCCAATTTTAAGACCTGCTAAGGAACAGATGATTGTTATGTCCTGATATGTAAAACCATAGAACTCCGAGAGGATGTACTTTTTTCCCCCCACCATGACCGGGTGTTAGATGATCCAGTAAAGGCACATGTCACATCTGCACATAGCTTGGTTATAACTAAGAAAGAGAATGATAAGGGATTATCAAGAGCCCATGTGAAAATGGAGCTGGGTAGGTTTGTTTTATTTTTGCTTACCTCACAGTTCGTTCGAGTTGATGTAATATGCAACAAAAGTTATAACTGGCAAATAGCAATTTATTATATTTAAGTTTCCTAGCACCAGCAAGATTCAAGATGTTTTAGCATCAATCCCATTCCAAACTAATAGGTGCAGGAGAATTACGCCCTAAAATAAACCATTGAGATACAGGGACGTGTGTCAGTCAACTTTTCAAATGTGAAATAAACACACATTCAACTGTGTTTAATATGACTACTGCACTCCCCCAGTTGCTGGGCTGCTACTCCTATGAAACACAGCCAGCTGACAGGTAGAGTACTGTGGGAGGAGTGGTCAACAACAGTGGGAGTAAATATTGGCAGTTTCAGGTCTGAAGATGCTAGCAAATGTATCAATCGAATGAGCATTTTATTGAAAAGTGTTATCTCCCTCCACATTGTGAGTGTTTATCAGGGTCGTAATGCAGCATTTGCATGATGCTTTGTTGGTTTTACAAATGGTAAAGAACAGCTTTAGAATGGTATGAATTCCTTCTGTGTTAAAATCAGATTTAGACATTTATACAGGTTTGTTTGTGGCGGTTTGTGGGAGCAAGGTGAGTGTTTTTGGTTTTTTTAATCACCATAACCAGCTTTTTGTCTTACATTTCAAATAATCAGGGAGCCGGTGGAAAGTCACAGTATTTTGGGATTTACCGCCCTGATTTACAGACTGAACAACTGTGAAATGTATAATCTGTACAACAAAAGCAGTTTTAAGACAATCATACACAGCAGGTCACGTAAGACTTTGTGTATGTAAAAGGAAAAATACTGTGACAGATGTGAGATCATGCGCTGGAGGTGATCCACTCGCAGCTGTGCAAATTCTCACCCTTCCACAGCCAGACACTGCCAGTACCAGGGTGAATGTCATGTTACAGAAATGAATTAAAAAACAAAACAAAACAAAAATAAGTTATTGTTGGACCGGTGTCATGATTACAGGAATTTATAGCCGGCTGGGGGTGGAAGGTGTTTAAAAATCACAAATTTATCAGATCTGTACAAACTCCAAAGCAGTAATGGCTGACACAAAATGTTTATGAATTGCATTAACCATGATGCTCAGCCAGCCTTCAGGTTAGCCATTACTGATCAAATCCCCCCATCCATGCAAATATGAGACAGTTGCACTTTATAGAGCAGATGCTTTAAATATGAAATTGCTAAAATGAAAATACACATATACAATTATTAGTTATTTTCATTGCCGTAACCATATACACACAGTGCAGACCATAATTATTTGGACAGTGATAGAAACACTGTTTTGGTTCAATTTACAAGGTTCCATATACAACTCATTGGATATAAAATTAAACAACGGTCAAGGATGTTATTAAATAATATGGGTTCACGTAGCTTGCAGGCTGTGTTCCACACTGAACTCAGGTAGGTGCTTATAGTACTTGATATTCAACCCTGCCAGGAGTTTCATTAATGCACAGACACATGAAACTGCAGTCCAAGCTGATCTGTTATTCATGCTTTTCAATGAATGGAGCTACAAAAGAGACTGGTGCACTGGCTTCTTCATAGACCTCCAGTCAGAGGAGGTAGGGATTTGCAGAGTATGTTAAGTTCCATGCAGGTATGTGTACAGCCAGGTACGGTCACAGCTGTGTAACAGTGAGCTTATAACAGCAGTGATTGATGATAGATTATTATCTATTCTATTGAAATAAAAACTTAAAACACAAGTTTCAAGAGTTTTCCGCTCTTCCTCAGGTCTGAAGCAATACTGATTATAAATACAATGTATGTCCGGAAAGTATACAGCTATTTAATATGATAGAGAAAGTCAAGATACAAGAACAATTGTACATAGGACATTGATGCCTAAGTCCCCTTAGGACCTCACCACCTTGCTCCAAAAGGGCCACACTCACTGTCATCCATAATATATAAAAGAGTTAGTTCATAAGTAGTGTATCTTTTGTTAAAAATTGTAACATGATATGTAAATAGCAGGCAGACCTTAGTGCATCAAAAACAACAAAAAATACTGCTTTGCATGAGAACCTTCAGCATCATATTTTCAAATTTTTCCCCATAGGAAAGCATTAAATAATGCATTCCTATAGGGAGGTCTAATGCGCATGCGCATTAGGTCTCCCCGCCGGCTGCAGGGGAGGACTGTGGGTGGAGCCTGTCCCAGCGCCGAGGGACATCGGCGCTGGATTCAGGTAAGTGGCTGAAGGGGTTTTAACTCCAGGAACCTATATTGCCTGGAAAACAGGTTTGTTTTCCTGGCACTATAGGATCCCTTTAAGCCACTTGGGTGATTTTATCTGCACTCATTGCATCGTCCCCGAAAGCCTTCTGAATCATCCGAAGTTTTCGCGGAGGAATGCTCAAGCATAAACGCAAAATTTGATGCAGATTCATTGCTCTACTCACTCAGTCATTTTGAATGTGACGGCCACACAGCACACATGCTCACTCAATGGTCTCTAGTAACCCCCAACCCCAATAGTTTTAGGCTAGTGTTTCAAGGGTAACAAGACTGTGTTTCTCACCAAGACCAGCGTATGTCCGACGTTTAGTAACACTTGCTGTTTTCACCAGGAACATGCAGGACTGGTGAGTCATCCATGAACATAGCATAAGTAAAAGTGTTCCCAGTAGAATTCCACACTGCAGGAAGTAGGAACAGACAGGTTAGCTTCCATTTTATATGCCAATAACCAAATTAGCCAGCATCAATTGTTAAAGGGAAACTGTTGTGTACAAATAAATCCCTGTTACTTTAATGCATGATATAACTAAAAATAATAATACAAATAAAATAAATGCTGTAGTGGTTATGTTGATTAGAGTGCCCCTTTGACTAGGCATACATTCTCTCTGATCTTACAAGCCTAGTACACCAATAATTTACATCTTTGTCACCAATGACACAGTGAAAGAGACTCACCTGCTTAAAACAGAATGGCATAGTCAACACACTGACTCCCACAATGCTGTTCACTATATTCATGATAAGGCCCCAGTTAGAAGCAGCCATGTTTGCGATTCTCAAAGCCAACAAATTGTTTTAAAATAAATATGTATATCGTTTTCTAAACGCAAGACAAAACCATATAAAATGTACAAAAATAGCTTGCTCTGTAGAGAAATTAGAAAAATGTGTAAATAAAAATAGAAAAGTTGAGCTTTTAACAAAAAAAACAGACTGGACGGATATCAAAATATAGAAAATGCTAATCACAAAAGTAGGATTAATAGCATTTGAAAATTTTAGAGAGTTCTTGGAATCATCAAATTTGTTTCAACGAGGATGAGGATGGCAGGACTGAAAACCTGAGATTCGATATCAAATTGTACTGAACGTTGATTGAATAAAAAAAATTAAAAATGGTCCAAACGCAATAGAAGTTAAGTCAGCTACCGTATAACTCTTCTGGGCATTAAGCCACAGTTTGTAATAAGAACTTCCATTGTATATGCGTAACCCATACACCAAGAGAATATAATTCACCCCACAATATTAAATGTGCAGGTAATTAATCACTGATTTAGAATATGACCATGTCCACCCAGAATGATTTTTTTCAGTTTCAGTCCAGTATTGGAAGTGAAAGAGTCCTCTAGAATAACTGCCTCAGGTCTCAAGTAAAATGTGAGCATCTGCCCCTGAATATTTCTGAAGACCTTATTGTGATCAATAAGTGACTGTTATTAGGGAGGAGGGGTGCAAGGTCCTAAAATTTTCACTCTCCCTGTTTAAGTCCCAAACTGCCAGTATAGGAGATACAGTGCCCCAGCTTTCAGGCTGTCACTGTGGCAGTTTCCCAGCTCCCAGTGCATTAACTCTCTGTGATCCCGGGCTGTCACTGTTGCGGTCTCTCTGGTCCAAGGCTGTCTCTGTGGTGGTTTCTGGTAGTGTCTGTGGTCCCAGGTTGTCACTGTGGCAGTGTCTGTGGTCCCAGGCTGTCTCTGTGGTCCCAGGCTGTCTCTGTGGCAGTGTCTGTGGTCCCAGGCGGTCTCTGTGGTGGTTTCTGGCAGTGTCTCTCTCTCTCAGGCTGTCTCTCTGGCAGTCTCTGTGTGGCCCCAGGCTCTCTCTCTCTGGCAGTCTCTCTCTCTCTCTAGCTGTCTCTCTCTGGCAGTCTCTCTGTGTGTGGTCCCAGGCGGTCTCTCTCTCTGGCCCCAGGCTGTCTGTGTCTCTCTCTAGCTGTCTCTGTGGCCCCAGGCTGTCTGTGTCTCTCTCTGGCTGTCTCTGTGGCCCCAGGCTGTCTGTGTCTCTCTCTGGCTGTCTCTGTGGCCCCAGGCTGTCTGTGTCTCTCTCTAGCTGTCTCTGTGGCCCCAGGCTGTCTGTGTCTCTCTCTAGCTGTCTCTGTGGCCCCAGGCTGTCTGTGTCTCTCTCTAGCTGTCTCTGTGGCCCCAGGCTGTCTGTGTCTCTCTCTAGCTGTCTCTGTGGCCCCAGGCTGTCTCTCTCTGGCTGTCCCTCTGTGTTTGGCCCCAGGCTGTCTCTCTCTCTCTCTTGCTGTAGCCCCAGGCTGGGTGACTGAGTGTTATGGAGATGGAGTCCTTGGTGACGTGGCCTGTGAGGATGTCTGTCTCTCTCTCTCTCTCTCTCCCTCGCTGTCTCTCTCTCTCCCCAGGCTGGGTGTTATGGAGTCCCTGGTGACGTGGCCTGTCTGTCTGTCTCTCCCCAGGCTGTCTCTCTCTCGCTGTCTCTCTCTCGCTGTCTCTCTCTCTCTCTCTCTCCCCAGGCTGGGTGACTGGGTGTTATGGAGTCCCTGGTGACGTGGCCTGTGAGGCTGTCTCTCTGGCTGTCTCTCTCTCTCTGGCTGTCTCTCTCTCTCTGGCTGTCTCTCTCTCTCCCGCGGTCTCCTCACTCCGGTGACCCGGCTCCACCCACTCGGACTATCCTCCGTCTGGCCGGTACCGAGCCCGGGCTGTCAGCTCGCACCGAGCGGCTCGCGGTCTGTCAGTCTGTCTCCGCCGCTTCCGGGTTCGTCCTCTGTCAGCCCGTATCCAGGAAGTGGCTGTACCATAGAGAGGAACCCGGGCCAGAGCGGCCGGAAACAGCTGGAATCTGACACGTTACAGCGACACCTGTGGGCGGGCGGACTGAGTGGCTGCCCAGGGAATAGCAGCTGGTGTGCAGCCTGGGGGACTCTAACATGGGCTGCATGGTACCAGCCTAGCATGGCCCCCAGACTGCATGGTACCAGCCTAGCATGGCCCCCAGACTGCAGGGCCCCCAGCCTAGCATGGCCCCCAGACTGCAGGGCCCCCAGCCTAGCATGGCCCCCAGACTGCAGGGCCCCCAGCCTAGCATGGCCCCCAGACTGCATGGCACCCAGCCTAGCATGGGCACCAGCCTAGCATGGCCCCCAGACTGCATGGCACCAGGCTAGCATGGCCCCCAGACTGCATGGCACCAGCCTAGCATGGCCCCCAGACTGCATGGCCCCCAGCCTAGCATGGCCCCCCAGCCTGCATGGCACCAGCCTAGCATGGCCCCAGAGACTGCATGGCACCAGGCTAGCATGGCCCCCAGACTGCATGGCACCAGGCTAGCATGGCCCACAGACTGCATGGCACCAGCCTAGCATGGCCCCCAGACTGCATGGCACCCAGCCTAGCATGGCCCCCAGCCTGCATGGCACCCAGTCTAGCATGGCCCCCAGCCTGCATGGCACCAGCCTAGCATGGCCCCCAGACTGCAAGGCACCAGGCTAGCATGGCCCCCAGACTGCATGGCACCAGCCTAGCATGGCCCCCAGGCTAGCATGGCCCCCAGACTGCATGGCACCAGGCTAGCATGGCCCCCAGACTGCATGGCACCAGGCTAGAATGGCCCCCAGACTGCATGGCACCCAGCCTAGCATGCCCCCCAGCCTGCATGGCACCAGGCTAGCATGCCCCCCAGCCTGCATGGCACCAGGCTAGCATGGCCCCCAGCCTACCATGGCCCCCAGACTAGCATGGCCCCCAGACTAGCATGGCCCCCAGACTGCATGGTACCAGACTAGCATGGTACCCGGACTGCATGGCCCCCAGGCTGCATGGTACCCAGACTGCATGGCACCAGGCTAGCATGGCCCCCAGACTAGCATGGCCCCCAGGCTGCATGGTACCCAGACTGCATGGCACCAGGCTAGCATAGGCCCCAGACTGCATGGTACCAGACTAACATGGTACCAGACTAGCATGGCCCCCAAACTAGTGGCCCCCAGGCTGCATGGCACCAGACTAGCATGGCCCCCAGACTGCATGGTACCCAGACTAGCATGGCCCCCTGACTAGCATGGTACCTGGTCTGCATGGCACCAGGCTAGCATTGCCCCCAGACTGCATGGTACCAGACTAGCATGGTACCCAAACTAGTGGCCTCCAGGCTGCATGGCACCAGACTAGCATGGCCCCCAGACTGCATGGTACCCAGACTAGTGGCCCCCAGACTAGCATGGCACCAGGCTAGCATGGCCCCCAGACTAGCATGGAAACCAGGCTAGTGGCCCCCAGACTAGCGTGGCCCCCAGACTAGCATGGTACCTAGGCTATTGGGCCACAGACTAGCATGGCCTCCAGACTAATGGCCATGTATGAAACATGTTATTACACAGCTCATTAAACATGTATAATAAATAATAAACCTGAGGCAGGGCTGACACACTCTCCACAGTCTCCTGGGTTTCGGTCTGCTGGGCAGGGTAGAAAAGGGCTGCCAATGGTATGCAGCATTCATGTGCTACAGGAGAGAATTTAGTTATGGAAGGCAGGTCATTTGGGATCCCTCTGACTGAATTCCTGGTTTGATTTCCTTCTTCACAGCACATGAATGCTACATACAATGGCAGCTCTTTTCATGCAGCACCCCACAGCATGTTCCAGTGATACCTGTCCAGGAAAACATGGTGGATCTGGCACCTCCAAGGTGATATTGTGAAATGTAAATTTAGTAGGCCGAGATTTCCACGTGGCATATGTGTATGTTGTATCAGTTAGTTAGTTACACGTAGCTAAGATACTGTCATCAATGTACTGAGCATATGCAGGAACTGAAATCACATTCCTTTCTCCTTTGTTTCGGATGAGCCATGTGGTCTGCCCATATAAGGAAATCCAAATCCTGTCCACTGATTGGTTAAGGGTATGTGCGGGTGGAGCTATTAATGGGAGGAGTTATAGTTCTATAAAAAGCATGTACTCCATGTGTTCAGCCCTCGGACCTGTTTTGGAACGTTAGTTCATCTGAAGCCCGATCGGTATGTTAATAAAGACCTCTTACTTCTTGAAAACCTGCATCCATCTCTCTGTGTCTGGCTTCTGCAAGTTTACTCGGTTACAATATTATTATTATTGCCATTTATATAGCGCCAACAGATTCCGTAGCGCTTTACAATATGATGCTCTCTAGTAAAGGGTAGACATCAATACATGTCTATATAGTTATTACAGTTTGTAAGTATGTGTTTTGTAATCATTGTAACAATAAAATCTGCTCAGTGGTTGCATTAATTTAGGGACGCCTAGCCTAAGCGGACCAGACTGCAGCTCCCATTATATTATCTTGGAGTGCTGGGAGTGGGTGTGCCAGACTGCAGCTCCCGTTATATTACCTTAGAGTGCTAGGAGTGGGTGTGTCAGACTGCAGCTCCCATTATATTAATTAACGAGTGCTGGGAGTGGGTGTGTCAGACTGCAGCTCCCGTTATATTACCTTAGAGTGCTAGGAGTGGGTGTGTCAGACTGCAGCTCCCATTATATTAATTAACGAGTGCTGGGAGTGGGTGTGCCAGACTGCAGCTCCCGTTATATTACCTTAGAGTGCTAGGAGTGGGTGTGTCAGACTGCAGCTCCCATTATATTACCTTACGAGTGCTGGGAGTGGGTGTGCCAGACTGCAGCTCCCGTTATATTACCTTAGAGTGCTAGGAGTGGGTGTGTCAGACTGCAGCTCCCATTATATTACCTTACGAGTGCTGGGAGTGGGTGTGCCAGACTGCAGCCCCGTTATGTTATGCTAGCAGACTGCAGCTCCCATTATATTACCTTACGAGTGCTGGGAGTGGGTGTGCCAGACTGCAGCTTACCTTAGAGTGCTAGGAGTGGGTGTCAGACTGCAGCTCCCATTATATTACCTTACGAGTGCTGGGAGTGGGTGTGTCAGACTGCAGCTCCCATTATATTACCTTAGAGTGCTAGGAGTGGGTGTGTCAGACTGCAGCTCCCATTATATTACCTTACGAGTGCTGGGAGTGGGTGTGTCAGACTGCAGCTCCCATTATATTACCTTAGAGTGCTAGGAGTGGGTGTGCCAGACTGCAGCTCCCGTTATATTACCTTACGAGTGCTGGGAGTGGGTGTGCCAGACTGCAGCTCCCATTATATTACCTTAGAGTGCTAGGAGTGGGTGTGTCAGACTGCAGCTCCCATTATATTACCTTACGAGTGCTGGGAGTGGGTGTGCCAGACTGCAGCTCCCGTTATATTACCTTAGAGTGCTAGGAGTGGGTGTGTCAGACTGCAGCTCCCATTATATTACCTTACGAGTGCTGGGAGTGGGTGTGTCAGACTGCAGCTCCCATTATATTACCTTAGAGTGCTAGGAGTGGGTGTGCCAGACTGCAGCTCCCATTATATTACCTTAGAGTGCTAGGAGTGGGTGTGTCAGACTGCAGCTCCCATTATATTAATTAACGAGTGCTGGGAGTGGGTGTGCCAGACTGCAGCTCCCATTATATTACCTTACGAGTGCTGGGAGTGGGTGTGTCAGACTGCAGCTCCCATTATATTACCTTTATGCTGGGAGTGGGTGTGTCAGACTGCAGCTCCCATTATATTACCTTAGAGTGCTAGGAGTGGGTGTGCCAGACTGCAGCTCCCGTTATATTACCTTACGAGTGCTGGGAGTGGGTGTGCCAGACTGCAGCTCCCATTATATTACCTTAGAGTGCTAGGAGTGGGTGTGTCAGACTGCAGCTCCCATTATATTACCTTACGAGTGCTGGGAGTGGGTGTGCCAGACTGCAGCTCCCGTTATATTACCTTAGAGTGCTAGGAGTGGGTGTGTCAGACTGCAGCTCCCATTATATTACCTTACGAGTGCTGGGAGTGGGTGTGCAGACTGCAGCTCCCATTATATTACCTTTGCGTGCTGGGAGTGGGTGTGTCAGACTGCAGCTCCCATTATATTACCTTAGAGTGCTAGGAGTGGGTGTGTCAGACTGCAGCTCCCATTATATTACCTTACGAGTGCTGGGAGTGGGTGTGCCAGACTGCAGCTCCCGTTATATTACCTTAGAGTGCTAGGAGTGGGTGTGTCAGACTGCAGCTCCCATTATATTACCTTACGAGTGCTGGGAGTGGGTGTGCCAGACTGCAGCTCCCGTTATATTACCTTAGAGTGCTAGGAGTGGGTGTGTCAGACTGCAGCTCCCATTATATTACCTTACGAGTGCTGGGAGTGGGTGTGCCAGACTGCAGCTCCCGTTATATTACCTTAGAGTGCTAGGAGTGGGTGTGTCAGACTGCAGCTCCCATTATATTACCTTACGAGTGCTGGGAGTGGGTGTGTCAGACTGCAGCTCCCATTATATTACCTTTGCGTGCTGGGAGTGTGTAACAGAGCTCCCTGTACCCCGGCTGGGTACCTCCGCCAAGGACTGCTCCTAGCTGGAACAGGGGGCAAACCGCAGCACTTCTGCCCACAGTCGCCGTGGCTTGATTGGGGCCCTGGAACTGCTCCCTCCTGGAGCTGAATGGGAAATTAGCTCTAGACACCCCTAGGCACTGGACGACACTCAGTCCTGGGAGCTCTAGTCATTACAAGGACTTTCCCCGTTGAATCCCCTGCAAGCTGGAACAGCAGACATAGGGGTTAAATCTTCATTCCCTCCAATAACAGGACGACACACAGTTTTGGAGTGCAAGCAAGCTTTAATGGCAGCCACAACTGGCCTTATATGCATGTCCCCCCTGGATCTTGTGGGGGAATGCCGCACAAAGTCACAGACCAATGGCAAAGGTGTTAGACT